CCACAGCTGGGAGATTCCAGCAAACTCAGAGTCTCCCAGAGCTACTGTGTGTGAACTGAGTTATCCGCAGGCTCACAGAATCTAAAATGTCCTGAAATGACAGGCACCATCCTGTGCTGGCTGTGTCCCCTCTCTCCCTATTGGTGAGTGGCAGGAAGGCTGACACAAAAAACAAGGTTCTGGAAAATTTCTGGGTTGGCAGATGGTTCTGACACTGACAGAGGTCACTACAGTGGGCAGAGCAGGAGTTAAGCAGCTGACAGCAATGGTGAGCTGTTTCTCCATAGCCCAGGCTGGCCTTGACTTTGCCACCCTCCTGACTCCACTTTCAAATAGCATGGATGAGAGGCTGTGCTGCCAAGCCAGGCCAGCTGTTACATGAGTGTATTTGGGGGACATCCGTGTTCTCTTTCTTGTGCATACCATTTAGAGACATGTATGAGAGAAATGGGAGTTGCATTAGATTTCATCCATATTATGTTGAGGAAACGTCGTTATAATGATTTGGGGGGTATGGGCTGGAGAGATGGCTCAGAGGTTAAAAGTCCTTGCTGCTCTTCCAGACTGGAGTTTGGTACCCAGCACCCACATGGGGCTGTTCCCAACCATCTCCAGGGGATCTGACACCCTCTTCTGGCCTCTGTGGGCACACCTGCACACATGTGGCATGTACCCACACTGATACATCACACACATATACATAATTAAAAAATAAATAAGAATAAAAGCATTCCCTTCTAGCAAGTTTGCAACAGCCTGTCAGGACTGAGGTGAGCAGTAACAGAACAGTAACAGTCACAGTACAGGCAGAGCCAGGGTGTCACTATCCTCAGAGCAGAAGCATCCTAAAATGGGTTGTAGGGGCTGGCTAGCCCTCCAATTTAAGCTCTACTTTGTTTATCTTCCAGCTGGCCACTCAGAAGTCTGCCAGCCATTTGCTTTAGAGTCAAGCAATTGCTACTGGGGGCTGAGTGTTATGGTACATGCCTGTAACTCTAGCCCTCAGGAGGCTGAGGCAGGTAGGTCAGGAATCCTGAGCCTACCCAACGGACTAGAGAGTAAGATTCAGGCCAACCTGGGGAAAATCATGGCTCAAAATAGGTAAGAGGATTGGGTGCCTGGTTCAGTGGTTGGGTCCTTATTGCACAGAACTCACAAGTGAGGGTGTGGGAGTGTGGCCCAGTGGCAGAGTCTCTGCCTGGAATCTTTCACTGGGGTTTGGGAACATGGCTTTACATCCCATCCCTCCTCAAAACTACTGCACCAAGAGAGTGGGGAGTGGCTGGTCTTCCCAACTCTGGATGCCTTTTAAACAAAGAGCAAGGAGGTCTTGCATCCTCCACTTTCAGCAAGTCCCTGGAATCTTGCTATAAGGTAACAGTGCTTTGGAAACAGCATTGTATTTATTTTACACCTGCCTTCTGCTTCCCTCCTGTGACACTGGTTCTCTAGTTACAGCATTACAGCATTTAAATTGTCTGTTTCTTTTTATATAAAGTGTCACTATGTAGCCCAGGCTAGCCTCCACCTGTATATCCTCCTTCAGCATCCAAAGTGCTGGGATTACAGGCACAAACTACCATGTCTAGCTGACTTCCCCCTTCTTTTCATTTTATGAGACAAAAGCTTGCTATGTAGCCCAGGCTGGCCTTGAACTCACTATCCTCCTGCATCTGCTTCCCAAATGCTGGGGTCACAAGTGTATGCCACTATACCTGGGAAAAATTCCCTGGTCTCTGCCTTTGGTTTTCACTTTCTCCAACGATTGTGTCATGAGCATGCCCCCTTCTGCTGCCAGCATGAAGGGGAAAAAATGGGGATCTGAACACATGTGACAGGTAAAGGCATACGAATGGGACTAGCCTCAATTCACTCAAGTTAAAAAAATCACTCAATTCTAAGACTTGCGGCTAAAACCAAAAGTAGAGGCTGGCAGGCTCAGTGGGTAAAGAAAGCCTAATGACCAATGTGTTACCTCTGGTTCCACTTGATTGATGGAAGCAGAGACCTGACCTCCACACACGGGTCATGACACACACTAACCAACGAACCAACCAACTAACTAACCAAATAAACTAAATAAATAAATAAAACTGCAGGTGGAGGGCATAGGCACAGCCCTTGCTGATGCAAGGAACTGGAGGGGCCTAAAGTCTAGCTCCCCCTCTCCCCATACGCCCTGCCTACTATAGTGGGGCGTCACTGAAAGGAGCCCACTCTTCATATTTGTTCAGAGGGGGCTACAAAGCTAGATTGCTGGTTAAGATCACTTGCTGCTCCTCCAGAGAACCAGAGTTTATTCCTCAGCACCCATGTCAGGCAGTTCACAACCCTCTATAACTCCAGCTCCAGAGGATCGGATGCTTCTGGCCTCTGTGGGCACCACTTGCATCCATGTGTACATACCCATACGCCATACACACACACACACACACCCCTACGCATAATTTAAAAGAATAAAAATAGATCTAAAAATGTGCTTAGAGGCAGTGTGTTCACAATGTTGGCCTAGATCCACACAATTTCATTCTTGGAAAGGTTTGGTCTGAGCTCGGGAGACAACTCATTCTACAAAAGGCTTGGACAAGAATGAGGACCTGGTTCAGATCCCCAGTATCCACACAGAAGACAGGTGTGGTAACACACATCTTTAACCTTAAGAGTTGTGGGGGACTAGGCCCTCCCTCCTGCCTCTAGGCTAAGGAAGTATCCCTCCATGGGGAACGCGTTCCCAAAGTCCTTTTATGCACCAGAGATGATCCCTCCTGGAAGGCTTCACCCTCCCTGTGGGGAGAGAGAGAGAGAGAGAGTGTGTGTGTGTGAATGGGATAGGAGGGGGTCAGGGGGCATGGGAGGGAGGGAGAGGGACCTGGGATCAATATGTCTCTCCCTGGGGGGGGGGAGATCCTGTCTCAAAAAATAAGGTGGTAGGGGCTGGGGATGTGGCTCAGCAGGTAAAGGTGTTTGTCATGCAAACCTGGCTTCCTGAGTTCAATTCCCTGAACCCATACAAAGGTGGAAGGATGGAAATCAACTCCACAAAGTTGTCCTCTGTTCACTGGAGCACATGCATCCTTCTACAAACACATGCACACACACAGGCTTATTCTAACATCAGCATGTGGTGGTACATGCCTGTAATCTCAATACTCAAGAGGCTGAGGCAGGAGGATTACTGCAAAGTCAAGGATGACTTGGGCTACACTAGAAGAGAAATCTCATAAAAAGAGAATCCTGGCACGTGTCTTTAATCCCAGAACTTGAGAGGCAGAGGCAGGTGGATCTCTGTAAGTTCGAGGCCAGCCTGGACTACAAGAGCGAGCTCCAGGACAGCCAGGGATACACAGAAACCCTATCTCAAAAGCCCAAAAAAACAAACAAATGAAAAGAGAATCCATAAAGTGTGGCCATGGATGTATCTCAGTGGGTAGAGTGCTTGCCTAGCATGCCAATACCTTGGGTCCCCAGCACTACATACACTGAGCATAGTGGCACACATCTGTAAGCCCAGCACTTCGGAGGTGGAGGCAGGAGAATCAGAAGTTAGAGAAGTTACAGGCGAGACATAAAAAGCAAAGTTCAGATCACAAACAGGACATGGTGCTCTTCATTTTATTTTCCATGTTCTGTCTCTCACTTGTATAAAATGTGTCAGGCTGTGCTAGTAAAGGAGAAGCAGAAGGGAGGGCAGAGAAAGGGCAGGGCCTCAGCAGCCACAGTGGCTGTCAGGTCAAGTGGGGCAGGAAGTGGCGGGGCGGGCAGGGAGGGCCTCCCCCACCTGCACGCCTTCCCGGTGATGTTCTGCTCAGACAGTCCCTGCCCTACATGATTTAGTAAACATGGTTTACAGCCTTTCTGATACCCCCAGTTCTTGTCCCCAACATTCATCTCACACCCCAGCCGAGAGTAAGGTCTCCTCGGGCCACCCCTCCCCATAGCCTGACCTGGAGACTGTGGTCCCTAGGTCAAAGGTGCTGACCACTTGGGCAGCATCTAAGCAGCTTTGGCTAGGTGGGGACTGCCCAGAAGTTCTTTCCAGGCCCTTTCCTTCTTGGAAACCTCTTCGTTAGCCACAGGCTCTTATACCAGGGGACAGTAAGGAGGTACAGATGGCTCGAGAACATTGCAATGGAGGCCCAGAATCTGCTCTTAATGCCTGTAGTCTGGACTCCTGAAGGTTTGACCTTTCACCCAGAGTAGGACTTCCCAGCTTTTATTGGCATATTGACCCCAATGCCACTGTGACCCTGTGTCTATGAACACAGGCATTTGCACCAGAACTACCTTCAGCCTTTCAGTTCAAAAAATATTTTCAAGGTTTATGTCACTTATATAGTTCATTGTCTTGACCAAGTTCACTGCATTGTGCAGACCAGTTTCCTTTCCTTCCTTCCTTTCTTTTTTTTTTTTTTTTTTTTTTTTTTTTTTTTTTTTTTTTTTTTTTGAGGCAGTTTCTCAGGTAACCCAGGCTATCCAACTCATTATGTGGCAGAAGACGACCTTGAACATCTGATGCTCCTGCCTTTCTCTACCTCCCAAGTGCTGGGATTGCTTGTGCCCGCACACGTACTGATATGTTGATATGACGCTGAAGATGAAACCCAGGGCTTTGTGCTGGGCAAGCACGCTACTGGCTGAGCTGCATCATCTGCCCCCTTTTCGGTTCCTTAAGTATTCAGAATGATCCATTCAATCCCCAGCTCCCACACACACTGCGTATCTCATTGCGTATCTCTTGTGGGGTCATATTAAACCCCACAAGATGTCACCAGTTGAGTTCACAGTCCTATTTTCCGGGGGTAGGGGGCCGGGGGATTGGGTAGTCTCTTTCACCCACATGGAGATGTTCTCTTGTGCATGGTTGTGGGGGAAGAGTGAATCTGTAAACTTGGCCCATTGTAGGAACAGGTCTGAGAAAAGATGGAAGTCTTCCTTTCCTAAAGATAATTCAGATACCCAGAAAGAACTCAAACTGGGGTTAAGACCATGACCTAGGGTCCAGGTGTGGATGACTCTCACACCACTCAGGGCTTCCCGGATGCAGAAGCCTGCTGGACCCTTGTGGAGGCTCCCGAGGGTGCCGACCTGGAGGACCGCAGCAGGCCCAGACCTCGAGAGCGACCTGCCCCGTGGAACTGGCGCTCATGCCTGCGGATCTGCACCTTATTCCGAAAGCGCTCTCCGCAGTCCTCGCACACGTAGGGCTGCTCGACCGAGTGGGTGCGGCGGTGGCGCAGCAGGTTAGAAGAGACACTGAAGCATTTGCCGCAGTCTCCGCAGACGTAGGGCCGTTCGCCCGTATGGGTGCGCTGGTGCTGCACGAGCGCCGAGCTCTCGCTGAAGCACTTGGAGCAGAAGGTGCAGGCGTAGGGCTTCTCGCCTGTGTGGATACGCTGATGTGTCACCAGGTTGGAGTGCTGTGAGAAACCCTTGCCGCACTCGCTGCAGAGATGAGGCCTCTCCCCAGTGTGTGTGGCCTGGTGTCGTACCAGGTCCGTGCTCCGGCTAAAACCCCTACCACACTCCCCGCAGATGGTTGGCCTGTCCCTGCCTCGTCGCTTCCTCCGCTGTTTCATGGTCGCACTCCCGTCGGGGCCCGGCATGGCCACCACGGTGGATGTGGCCACAGTGGGCAGCACCATGAGCTCTTGTAGCACCACATAGCCTGGAGGGGCCACCACGACAGTGGCTGGAACTGGCACTGCGCCACCTCCCGGAGTGGACACCAGCTCCAGCTGCAGCTCGGGAGGCACAGAGGTCAGTTCCAGCTGCAGCCCCTGTTGCTGGAGGCCCAGCTCCACCGGGGTCAGCTCCAGGTGCACCTCCTGTTGCTCCAGCTGCTGCTGCTGCAACTGCTCCAGCAACTGCTGCTGCTCCAAGTGCTGCTCCAGCTGATGCAGCTGCTCCTGCAGTTTTAGCTGCAGCTGCCGCTGTTCCTGCAGCCTCTCTAGCTCCTGCCGATGCTGCTCCAGCGCCTGCTCTGACCCCACGTCCACTGGCATGAGCTCCAGTTCCACCTCTTCCTCCTCTGGCTCCAGTGGAGGAGGTTGCAGCTGTGGCTGCAGCTGTTCCTGCTGCTGTTGCAACAACTGTTGCTGCTGCAACTGTTCTTGCTGCAGCAATAGTTGGTACTGTATCTGGGCCTGCTCCTGCAGCAACAGCTGCTGCTGTAGCTGTCCCTGTGGCTGCAGCAACAGTACTTGGTGCTGCAATTGTCCCTGCTCTTGCAACAGTTGCTGCTGTTGAAGCAGCGGCTGCTGTAACTTCTCCTGTTGATGCTGCTGCAACAGCTGTTGCCCTTGACCTTGCTGTAACAATGCTTGTTCTTGTACATGCTGCAGCAGCATTTGTCCCTGCTCTTGCAGTAGTTGCTGTTGCTGGAGAAGCTGCGGTGAGTGTCTTTGCTCTTGCATTGGCTGCTGCAGCAGCAGAGCCTGTTCTCTTTGCTGCAATAGCTGTTGCTGTTGCACTTGCTGCTGCTGTTGTAACAGCTGTTGCTCTTGGCCCTGGGGTTTCACCATCATCACCCCCTGCTGCTGCAATGATTGTGGCTCCTGTCCAAGTCCCAGCTGCTGCACCAGCTGCAGCTGTGGTTTTGGTTCCTGATGATGCTCAGACTGGAGGTTTTCCTGTAGTTCTTGCTGCAGCTGAGATGGCGGCGGCTGCCCATCTTGTTGCTGCTGCAATTCTGGCTGAGATCCCAACAGTTGATGGGGAGGCCGCTGCTCTTGCAACTGCTTATGCTGCAGCTGTTCCAGGAGCTCTTGCTGCTGCTCTAACTGTTGCAGGTGCAAGTCCTGTTGTCCCGGCTGCACTGCCTCAATGCTGTTACTGGCCCCTACCAGGGCTGCGAGTGCTGGCAGCTGTGGGCTGCTGCTCCCCTCCTGTGCCTCTTCCTCCTCCTGGCTCTCACTTCCACCACTGCCACCTGTAGTGGAAATGGCAGGAAAGCCAGGAGAGAAGGATGGATGGACAGCCACCTGGACCAGACCCACCAAAAGCATGTACTCTGGATCCACTAAAGGGCTCTTAGCAGAGGCCCCCAAAAATGAAGGATTGAATGGCAATAGTGATGGACATTCCCAGAATCCCACGGATCACTTCATTCAATCTCCATCTGAGCCCCTTTACACAAGCCCCATGCTTTGATATCAACACAGAGCTTTGGGCTCCTGACCATTCCCTGGTGTACTTCCTCCCCATGCAGGAGAAACCAGATAATGCAGTGGCTGAATTCTGACCTCATTGTGGTCACACTTTATTTAATTATTTTGGCTTTTTTGTTTTTCGATATAGGGTTTCTCTGTGTAGCTCTGGCTGTCCTGGAACTCTCTTTGTAGAGCAGCTTAGCCATGAACTCACAGAGATCTGCCTGCCTCTGCTTCCCAAGGACTGCCATCAAAGGTATGCACCATCACTGTCCAGTCAGTGAAGGTCACATTTTAAATAAGTGAAATTTGCCTTGTCTATGAAAAGGGAATATTTCTGTAAAGATACAGCAAGCCGTTTCTAGAAATGACTGAAGGAATTCAGGGGTCAGTTAGGGAGTCCATGGTTCTGAATTGGACTGAAAAGCCAGGCACAGCAGCCCGCCTATAACTCCAGCCTCAGAGGGCATCCCTGGAATAAGCCGGCTGGCAAAACTAGCCATGTAGGCAAGCTTTGGGTTTGATTGAAAAGCCCTGCCCCGTTGACTAAAGAGGAAGAACAGTCAAGGATGATTCATGACATCAACCTGGGGCTGCCAAATACAGAGGCACACATATCAACACACACAAACACAGACAAGAAACATAAATACACACATACACATCACACATACCACATACAAAAAAATTTGTGTAGGTAATTATCATTAAAAAAATCTTTCTAAACACCTTTGTTGAGTACATTTTTTAAAAACTGTGTGTCTTGTGTGTATGTACATGTGTGCTCATGTGTGTGCTTGTGGGAACTTATGTGCCGCGGCACACTTGTGGAGGTGGGTGTTGGACCTCACCTTCACACACTGAGGCAGGGTCTCTTGTCTGCCACTGCTCAGGCCAGCCAGGCTTACTGGTCCTGTCTGTAATCAAGGGATTCTCCTGCCTCTGCCCTCCCACTTTACTATAGGAATGTTGGGATTACAGACATGCACCACCATGCATACTTTCTGGGGATACTCAAGCTTGTAGAGTGAGCATTTTCCCCACTGAGCTGCTCCCCAGCCCCTTGGGTGTATTTTTCAGACACACGTCTACAGGACAGCTGGGATGTTGGGTAACAAACGAGGACAGCTATGGGAACCTGTCTCTACAGCAAGTTAAACTCTGCCTCCTCTGCAGGGATAGACCTCACCTCTGTGTGAGTCTCCACATTCCTAGCTTGGTCACGAGGTCACTCTGACTTCCTGGGACAGCAGTTTCCACAGAAGCATTTTATTGCCCGTGTAGTTAGATGTCACCTGAAGTGTATGCCCGCTAGAGTTAAATTTACAATCGGAAAGAGTCTTTGTTCAATTCATATGTTCCCATTTTTATCATTTGTTCTTCCACATTTCCTGATTCATTCTCTCTCTCTCTCTCTCTCTCTCTCTCTCTCTCTCTCTCTCTCTCTCTCTCTCTCTCTCTCTCTCTCTCTCTCTCTCTCAATGTCTCACTGTATAATCATAGCCTGGAACTCACTGCACAGCCCAGGCTGTCAAACTGCAACCCTCTTGCCTGAGCCTCCCAAGTTCTGGGATTCCAGTTATGTGTCACCATGCCCAGCCCTCCTTGGTTCTCCCTTAACTCTCTTCAAGCCTGCCCCACACTGTCACTCAGCCCCTTCCAAACCACATAATGAGAAAACTGACTCTTGCACCACTCTTGAAGGCTACCCCTGCATGGGCTTCAGGGGCAGCACTGGGAAGTTCCACAATGTCATGGGCACCTCTGTGTGGTAGGTGGTGGGAAAGAGATGGGAACAAATATTGATGAACTGGGAGCCAGGGTGGAGGTCACCATAGGCAAGACGCCATGCAGCCAGTGTCTGAGGCATCAGAGACAGAAAACCCTTCCAGCTTCATGGGAGACAGTGGAGGCCACCTGGGAAAAGCAGGTTAGAGCCAGCTCAGGTTTGGGGGGCAGGGCTGTGGCTACTGAATCTGTCACAGTGTCTCTCTCCAGCAAGACCTTGGCCTGACAGACACTTCAACAAGTCCCAAGTCAAGTTCCAAGGTAGCTGAGGTTAGCAGGTGTGAGTGAATATGCTGCTGGCCACATGGGTCCCTCTGTTGTGGCCTGGGCTGTGGCAGCTTGCAACTCAACTAAGGAATCCTTGCTGGGGGCCCCATTGTCTCCATTCCCCAACCCTCACCTGAGAGGGTGTCAGGCCCTGGACCCCCATCCTCAAGACATCGCAGCTCCAACACAAAGGTCTCTGTTGTGGGACCCAGCTCCATCCTGGCAGTCACACCAGGGTCCTGGGGAGCAGGCTGTGCTAAGAGGAAGAAAGGAAGCTGTTCAGAAGGGAGGTGGTTATGGCTGAACCCCATTCCTACACAGAAGAGCCAGCGCTCTTACTTGCTGGGTGTACACAGGGATCCACCTCAGATGACCTTCCTGTCCCCACACCAAAACATAACTAAGGAAAACAACCTCTCCCAAGGCTGGGAAGCTGGAGGCACGCCTAAGGGTACCCATGGCACAGTCCCTTGTCCCCTTCCAAAGCATGACAATCTCCCAGGCTTCAAAAGCCAAATATGTCAGGTTTCATCCCAGGTCCCGGGGAAGGTTGGTGTCCAGAGCACCGCAGTCCATGGCTGGGGCCTTCTGCAGGCCTGTGCTCCTGTCCTGAATCCACTCTGAAGAAGTGGTCTCCACATTCAGGCGCCCCCACTCCCGCATGCCAGCGGATTCCATCTCCCTCTGGCTTAGGAGCCCTCCGTAGAAGAGCGCCCCTTTGCCCAGCAGGGCTCTCCCGCCAGGCCTCACCTGGAACAGCATTTCCCGCCGCCGCCGCTGGCAGCAGCCACTGCGCTAGGGGAGGTGTGGTCACCAGTGGCTACAAGGTTAAGGCCACGACCGATCAGCCAGAGCTCCTTCCGGAGGTGCCTCCATCTAGAAGGAGCCAGAGAGGCTCTGACCACCCCCAGGGGAACCCTCTACGGGCACTCCGCGGGGTCTTCGCTGTCAGAGCTGCCGAGGTCGCCCTGGGCCAAGACAAGGTGCACAGTGGAGTTCCCAGGCAGAAGTTGGTGGAGACTCTCACGTAGGGACAGGGAAGGGAGGCAGGGTTCCAAATCCCAAGCGGGGATCAGGGTTGGTCAGGGTGGCCATGGCTGGAGCCCTAGGTCGGCTCAGTGTGAACCGGGTGGGGTGACAAGGGTCGTGGGCGATCACGGGCCACAGGTGCCCAGAGGGTGGGGGGGCGGGCGCCGCGGCCGGGCCAGGTCCCGGATCGCTCGCCCGCCCTCCGGTGCCATGCGTCCGTGCGGGAAGCCGCCGGGCCGGGGCGGGGGCGCTGGGGGGGCGGCACAGGAAGTCCCCCCGGCATCCGCATCCTGTCCCCCGCCCCTGCCGCCCGCCGCGCCCCCGCGCCCCGGCCCTCGCCGCCACCACCGAGGCCGCTGCCTTCGCCTTCGCCACGGTCGCCGCCCGCCGCTCTAGGCCGTGCCGCCGGCTCTCTGGGCTTAACCCTTCCCGGCCCGGCCACTCACCAGGGCCCCCCCGGGGTGGTGTGGGTGGGGATGGGTACAGGATGCTTGGCCCTGCGTGCCTCTCAGGGCCCGCCGGTGCTGGGCGCAGCGCACGCTGCAACGCATCGCCCGGTGCGCGTGTCCGTGCGCCACGGTTGGCGACTGTCACTGAGACTGCATGGATGGGAGAGGAAGGGGGATCCCAGTCAACACCCCCACTGTTCTCTGAAGCGTAGGCGTGGCTTTGGGGTGCCTCTCCCGGGACAGGGATACAAATTGGGTGGAATTAGCACTTAATTAACCAGTTAATGTGGACGCCTCCTCCTGACTCCAGCAGGTCCAAAACATCCAATCCAGCTACCCAACCCTTGAGCTTGAGTTGGCTAGGGTAGACTGACAACCTTCAGGAACTGGGGGACCCATCGGTTTCTCTTTGGGTTCTTGCTCCCTCCAGTAGCCACAGGCCCTCCCTTCTCCAGCTTCCATCTTTGGGGAGGGGGGTCCTTCTTCCAGCGTTCTGAGCCATGGCAGCGCCAGTGACTTCTCCCTGTTTGCTTTTTGCCATAACAAGTTGTTTCCTGCCTGGGGGTGGGTGGGAGTCGGAGTGGGGGTGAGGAGTGTTTCATCCCCTGGGAGGCTTGAGCTGACCATCTGCATATCCTCTCACTCATCTTTAATGGCATACCACAGGCTTTTCCCATCTGGAGAATTCACACAAGATGCATTGCCAAGCTTTGCCCTGGCACTCACAAAGCCCTGAGTTCCACCCCAGTAGTGCATAAAACTCACATGGTGGGACATGCCTGCCATTCCAGAACTCAGCAGGAGGATCTGGAGTCCTAGGTCATCCTTGGCTACATAGCAAATCTGAGGCCAGCCTGGATCACATGCAACACTGTCCAGAAGAAGAAAAATAACAACGGAGAAAGTCAAAGATCTGGCAAACCAGAGCTGTGTCTGAGGTGAAGTGGAGATGTCCCCTGAAGGGGGACAAGAGCCCTTCATGGGATCACAGCCCCATTCTTCTCCCTGTCTCCCTGCTGACAGTACTGTCTCGGATTCACACTGTTACTGCTCCTGCAGGCTTTCCCTGCAGCCAGACTTGAAAAGCCTGACTCTGGAGGCTTCATTGCAGACCAGCAGCCCACCTCCAGGGTTAAGGGTGCAGAAGGCCATAGCTGAGTCACTCAACCAGAGGTGCAACAGTTGGGACCCAGATTTGGAGGCAGGATAAATTGGAGTCACAGGACCCCTGGTATCCTGGTAACTTGAGGCACCATATAGCCTTCCATTGGTGAAAGTGGAGATAGGCTACCAGGCAGCAGTCTAAGAACAACTGAGCAGACAGTGAACATACAGGTAAAGGATTGGCGCACCTTCTTCCCTTGCCTTAACTGGATCCATCTTCCCCTTGCCCTGCCTGGATGGGAGCCTCTTCCAGAGACCTCAGTCTCTGCTGTTTCCCTCCTCTCTGAATCGTGTGTGTGTGTGTGTGAGAGTGTGTGTGTGTGAGTGTGTGTGTGTGTGAGTGTGTGTCCACATGCTCATTTAAAGAGGCCAGAGGAGGATGTTGGCTACCCTCTATTTATCACTCTCCAACTTATTCCCTTGAGACAGGGTCTCTCGCTGAAGCTGGAGCAAAGCCAGCACCTCTTATCTCTGCCCCAGCTCAACCCTGGGGTTATAGGCACATAGATATCCATGGCTGGCTTTTGATGTGGGTGCTGAAGATTTAAACTCAGGTCCTCATGTTTGTCCTGCAAACTTTTCTCACCTGCTGAGCTTTCCACCCAGACCCCGGCCTTTTACTTCTCCCTGTCCTCCCCTTCTGGGTTCTTTCCAGAAGCGTTTACACATCCACAGGACCTTTCCATCCCCAAAACAGGCAGTTCCCACTGCTCTCTCATCTGCCCACCCCTCCTTCCCTTCTCTTACCTGGCCTGAGTTCCATCGCTTCACCCAACCAGCTCCCCTCTCATGGGGCCAACCACCTCCATGTTCTAAACCTCCTATCTTCTACACGGAAGCAACACTGCACACTTCTGCTGGCTGACCCTTGGTCTGCCCCACTCTCGTCTCCTTTGCAGACTTTTTGGGGATTGCTGAAGGCCATTGCTTACTTTTGCATAATTATCATGTACAAGATGTCTTTGGGAAGCAATTATTTCCCTTTGGATATTTCTCCTGTGCATAGCCCTGATTCTCTTTTGTGCCTTTAAAACGTGTGTGTGTGTGTGTGTGTGTGTGTGTGTGTGTGTGTGTGTGTATATAAGCTAGATGTCAGTATTGGGTATCTTCTTCAATGGCTTTCTACTTAAAGTTATGTGTATTTGTTTGTGTTTGTATGTGGGCATTTGAGTGCAGGTGCCTGTGGAGGCCACAAGAGGGCAGAAGATATTCTGAAGTTGGAGTTGTAGGAGGTTGTGAGCCACCAGGCACAGAAGCTGGGATCACACTGGCTGTATGTGAGCAGCAAGTCGTCTTAACCACTGAGCCATCTCTCCAGCCCATCTCCACATTATTTTTATTTGATACAGGTCTCTCATTGATTAGCTAGACTGGCTGGCTGGTCACCAAGCTCCAGGGATCAGCTGTCTTTGTCTCCCAAGCACAGTAAGTACAGGCCCACACCACTGTCCTGGCTTTTAAATGAGTGAAAGCATGAAAGACATAGCTTAGTTGGAGCATGCTCAAGTGCAAAAGCCCTGGTTTGATGCCCAGCACTGACTGAAACACTGCTTTCCTGAGTTCTATGAGTTATCTAGCACACAGCAAACCTGAGTAGGCCAAAGGAAATTCTGACTTTCCAGCTAGTTGGCCGAAGCCTGGGTGGACTGGGGACTCTGGAACTGGTGGCTTGTATCTAAAATGAGGTTTGTCTCATCAGGACTGTGTCCCTAACCTGTGTAGTCTGTGCCGATTCTGGTGGTTACCATTTTACTGCATCTTTGGATGAATGCATGTTTACTGTTTCCATAGTTACACTTATGGAATTGTCTTTGGGGATGTGCCCAGGAACCTTCGCATGAGTTTCCTTCTGCTCTAATCATTCTGGTGTTAACCCCCACGCACGCTATTTTCTTTTCTTTTTATTTGTATTGATTCATTCTTGATTTCTATTGGCAACTCTTCCCATATCTTTCTTGTGGGGGTAGGGCTCTAGCAATAATTCTTGTCTCAACTTCATGGCCAGTCAAACTGATTAGGAATCTATTGTTTTGGTTTTAAAATCACATTTATTTACTGGGGGACACAAGGGGGGGCATAGTACATCAGTCCTCTCCTTCTATCATGTGGGTCCTAGGAATTGAACTTAGGTTGTCAGACTTGGTGGCAAGGACCTTTATCCACTGAACCACCTCACCAACACTATCTTTAGTTTTTCTTTTCTTTTTCTTTTTGGTTTTTCTAGACAGGGTCTCTCTGTGCAGCCCTGGCTATTCTGGAACTTGCTCTGTAGCCCAGGCTGACCTTGACCTGAGATCTGCCTGTTGAGCCAGTCTTGAATTTCTTACTGGCCTCAAATTCACTATGTAGACTTCTACCTCCCAAGTGCTGAGATACAGGGATGGACCACCATGTCCAGTTTACACAGTGCTGGGGAATAGAACCTAGGGCCCCCATTAAAGCTACACAGTCACTCTATCAAACTGAGCTACATCCCAAACTTCCTTTTATATAGTTTCTGGCAGGGATTTTTATCATGAAGAGACAGAGAGCCAGGTCATGGGCCAGTTCCTATACAATTGGGTCAGTTACAGGCACTCCTGGAAACGTGGTGAAGTGAGAACCAAGGAGCCAACTAGAGTCTTCAGTCACAATTGGTGGCATCTACCATGGGTTCTGTTCCATCTAGGTCCTGGCTAAGACCACCAGAAGGACAACCTAGAACTAGATGCAGCCAATCAACCGTAGTGACCTGAGTAGCCACACATAGGCCATAGATGTGGCAGGGTGTTCAGGCTACCACAGGGGCCTGAGCTGTGGAAATCAGGCTCCGAGAGTTTAGTATGGCTGTGGAAGTGAGATCAACCCTCAGTCAGTCTTAGTTTTCTGCAGCTGTGAAGACAGGATGGCCCCTGGCCTAGTGCATAGGGCTATGTTTGTAGTTCTCTGCCTTCCAGGTAATCTCAGGCTCAAGGAAAGCACAAAAGCAAGTGGGAAGTGGCTGTTGAAATGGACACTTGCCTTGCACAGTTACAAGTGGAAACTCAAAAAACAAAACAAACAAACAAATTCCAAACCAACCAATCAAACAAACAAAACACACACACATACACAAACACAAAACAGGTACATGAAGATCAAAAAATTGCTGGGCATTGGTGGTGCACGCCTTTAGTCTCAGCACTTGGGAGGCTGAGGCAGGCCGATCTCTGTGAGTTCAAGGCCAGCCTGGTCTACAGAATGAGTTCCAAGACAGGCTTCAAAGCAATACAGAGAAACCCTGTCTCAAAAAACAAAAAACAGACAAACAAAAACCCACAACAAAATTAACAGGGGGTGTGCTGTGCTGGTGCAAGCCTGGATCTCAGCACAGTGGAGGTGGAGGCAGGAGGGGCAGGGACCATCCTCAGCTACACAGGAAGCTCAAGTTCAAGGCTAGCCTGGGCTATGTGATGTCATGTCTAAAAACAAAAATGATGACAATAATAATAATTTTAAATGGCAAGTCCTAGAGAGATGGCCCAGTCAGTAAAGTACCTGTTATAAGGGCCTGAGTTCAGATCTCCAGTGCACAGGTAATGAGCTGTTAGAGGTGGAGTGTTATGGTATATTACTTTAACTAGGTAAAGATGTGTTACATTTGTTTCTGCTGCATTTGTTTAACTATATAAAGATGTGTTGCTGGGTCACCTTGCCTGCCTAAGGCACCTTATTAGTCTAATGAAAAGCTGAATGGCCAATAGCTAGGTAGGAGAAGGATAGACAGGGCTGGTAGGCAGAAAGAATAAATAGGAGAAATCTAGGCTCAAGGAGGAGGAGGAGAGACTGAAGGAGAAAGAGAGGGACATGCCCAGCCAGGCATGAGAAGCAGAAAAAAAGTAGGACATATAGAAAGAAAGCAAGGTAAAATGTTACAAGATAAAATGTAGATGAAGATAAACAGGTTAAGTTATAAGAGCTGGCAAAAAAAATCAAGCCTAAGCTAAGGCCAAGCATTTATAATTAACAAGTCTCTGTGTTATGATTTGGGAGCTGGTTGGTGGCCCAAAGAAAAAGCCTGGTACATTGAGGACAGTAGAATCACTGAGGCTCACATGTCAGCCAGCCTAGCCAAAAATCTTTGAGCTCCAGGTTCAGAGAAAGACACTTCTCAAAAGAGTAAGACAAAGTGTGATAGAGATGGACACCAGGCATCTTCTGGCCTCTATGTGTGTACACAGACAAGTGCACGCACGTGCACGCGCACACACACACTGCATGCATGCACAGAAAGAAAGAACCTTATTTCCGTCTTGGAGCTACTGTATTATTTCTCTCACTGCTGTGATCAAATGTCTGACAGGAAGCAATTAAAGGGAGGAATGGGAAGTTTTGGCTCACACTCTGAGAGGGGAAGGCATCTCAACTGTGGCAGCAGGATGAGGCTGCCTGCTCACATCTGAGAGGATCAGGAAACAGGGCAGGCAGGACTCGGGGTGTGGCTATAAACCTCACGGCCCATTCCTGAAACTGACCTTCCTCCGTCTATTCCACACTTCTCAAAGTTTGTTCAGTGTCCTAAACAGTACCACCAGCTGGAGACAGGGTTTCAAACTCAAGAGCTTGTGGAGCGTGGTAGTGTGAATGTAGTTGACCCCCCCAAAACGTCACAGGGAGTGGCACTATTAGGTGTGGCTTGTTGGAGGAAGTGAGTCACAGTGAGGGTGGGTTTTGAGGTTTCCTATGCTCAGGATACTGCCCAGTGTCTTAGTCCATTTCCTGTTGCTTACGAGACATAGGGCTCTCAGCTCCAGCTCATCTGCCTTAGGCTGCCATGCTCCCCATATAATGAACTGAACCTCTGAAACTGTAAACCAGCCCCAATTAAATGTTCTCCTTTGTAAGAGTTGCTGCAGTCATGGTGTTTCTTCACAGCCATAAAACCCTAAGACATGGGGACACTTCACATTCACTTTGTGACACTTGTCATTGATCACCTGGCCCAGACACCACTTTATCAGCAGTCAGCTCTATGTCCCCCAGTTCTTCCTACAGTCTCATCCTGGCACACACTGATGCCATTGGACCAGGCTCTAAAGACTAATGTTTACAGCGCTGGCCTTTGTGATGGCTGTTTTGGTTAACTTGATACTCTGGACTAAGCACTGTTTCGTTTTGTTCTTTGAGGCAAGGTCTTATGTATGCTGGTCTCAACCCACTGTGTAGCCCAAAAATAGCCTTCAATTTCTGATTCCTCCTGCCACTACCTTCCAGGTGATGGGACTACAGGAATGCCCCATGGGGTGCATCTATGTAGAGGCCAGAAGACGACCCTGGGTGTTGTTCCTCAATTTAATGTGTTTTGCTGTCACTGACCTGGAAATCAAGCTGGTTAGACTGACTAACCTAAATACATCAAAACTTTAAACACACACACATATATACATACATTCCACAGAGCTCGGAGTGTAGCTCATTGAATAAAACACCTGCTAAGTAAGTACAACACCATGGATTTGAATCTCAGCACTACAAAAAGAAAATTCCATAATGCCTATAAAACTGTTTAGAAAAAAATTTATTTTGAACACATGAAAGGAAAATTTAGAGATAACCCCGAAATAAAACACAGAAGATCCTTTCCAAGGTGATGGGGAATCCCAACAGGTGTCCCTGAGCAGTGCCCAGTGCTGCATACAAGCGTGGGTCTCTCCCTCCACATTCTGAGCTCATGGAGCTGCGGAACACTTGTGTTGGTGGCAGAGACACATCACATTCCTGAGGCAGGGCAAATGGACCCGAGGGGCGGCTTACCCGCCAGCGTTCCCTGGTGGCTGGCTGAGAGTGTCTGTGCATGAGTGATACCATCACTCTGGGACTGGTATATTTAAAAAACCCACAGCACTCTCTGCAGTGGGCTAAGTATACTCCCTTTCACCCATCCAATCTGGACATTTAACATGACCAGGTAGGAGGCACTCAGGGACAGCAACTTGGGACATCAGTACCAAGATGGTTCTGTCAGCTAGAGGGACCACCTGCTGCCTCCCAGGGGTCCTTGTCCATGGGGCCAGCACCCCTCTCCGAAGGCTTCCTTGGCCCAAGTGCAAGGCACACAGCCGCTTGGCGGCTCAGAAGGGCCGACCTAGCGGATGGGCCTGAATGGAAATGTCACGCCTGAGATGAAGGTGTGCCCTGGGTGTGTAGGCAGGGCTGGGTGGGCAGCAGGGTGGGCTGGCACAGCCCCATAGGCGAGTGGGGGGGTGTGGATGTGCGGGTAGAACCCAGGGGGCAGAGCGGTGTGTGGCGACTGCTGCACTGGGCCCGAGATCACCAGCTGGAGCAGGCTGTAAACACAAGGAGAGAGATTAGGTCCAAGGCCCCAAGCCCAGCGTCACCAGTTGGGCCTCTGGCCTGTTCTCCCAAAGGATACAAGCCTGATAGCACATGCCCATCAGCCTAGCACTCCAGAGGCTGTTCTGTCCCTCTGCACCTGGCGCCTCACACGTCCCTCGCATTAGGGGCTCCTGACAGGTAAGCTTGGAGCACAGGAGACTGCAGAAGGGGAAGGGAGTGGAGGGGTTAGCAGGACCTAGCACAGGACTGAGAGAAAGGACCTGCAGGGATAAAGCTACAACCCACCAAGGATGAGTGGAGGTGGCCTACGCTGGGGACCATGGGCCAAGTGGAACTCTCCATGTGACACCCCTACCCCCTCAGCCCTCAGAAGCTGAGGCTCATGAAGTAGCCTCTGTGCGGGCTAGTGTTATGTCAACTTGACATAAGCTGGAGCTATCAGAAAGGAGGGAGCCTCAATTGAGAAGGTGACACATAAGATCCAGCTGTAAGGCATTTTCCAGCCCGTTGGTGGTGGTGCTGCCCCCTGGGCTTTCTATAAGAAAGCAGGCTGAGCAAGCCATAGAAGCCAGCCAGTAGCAGCACCCCTCCATGTCCTCTGCATCAGCTCCTGCCTCCAGGTTTCTGCCCTGCTTAAGTTCCTGTCCAGACTTCCTTCAGTGATGAACAGTGATATAGAAGAATAAGACAAATGAAGCTTTTCTTCCCCAAGTTGCTCTGGCCATGGTGTTTCAACAGAGCAACAGTCACCCTAACTGAGATAGCCTCCATGCCAGCCTGAGCCAATGTCCATTCATGGTGTTATCTGAGGGCAGCAACGTGTCAATTCTGATTGAGTCTGGCTGCATTCCATACAGAAGCCCCACAAAAGTGGCTTTTCAAATGACCCTGAGATCCAGAGTCCAGTGCATCTCAGCCCCTGCTAAGCAGAGGCGCCTAATCCCCAGCCCCGGGGCCTGTGAAACTCTCCTCACTCAGGACCCCGGGGTCTATTGTGAACCTCACCAGTTCCTCTTCTTTCTTCCCTATCTACATCCTTCACTTTCTAGAATTCCCCATCCCAAGTACAGTGCAGGTTTGAGACCCTGGCTTCTTTCCAGCCATCACCGTGATCAGAAGAACCTCCCTACTCTAAAGCTGAACTCAGTCTGCCAACCAGCCTGGGATCTCCATGCTGAGGACACAGGCCACCTCCAGCCCAGACTCTCCACACTAAGGACACAGGCCACCTCAGCCCAGACTCTCCACACTGAGGACACAGGCCACCTCAGCCCAGACTCTCCACACTGAGGACACAGGCCACCTCCAGCCCAGACTCTCCACACTGAGGACACAGGCCACCTCAGCCCAGACTCTCCACACTGAGGACACAGGCCACCTCCAGCCCAGACTCTCCACACTGAGGACACAGGCCGCCTCAGCCCAGACTCTCCACACTGAGGACACAGGCCACCTCAGCCCAGACTCTCCACACTGAGGACACAGGCCACCTCAGCCCAGACTCTCCACACTGAGGACACAGGCCGCCTCCAGCCCAGACTCTCCACACTGAGGACACAGGCCGCCTCAGCCCAGACTCTCCACACTGAGGACACAGGCCGCCTCAGCCCAGACTCTCCACACTGAGGACACAGGCCGCCTCAGCCCAGACTCTCTACACTGAGGACACAGGCCGCCTCAGCCCAGACTCTCCACACTGAGGACACAGGCCACCTCCAGCCCAGACTCTCCACACTGAGGACACAGGCCGCCTCAGCCCAGACTCTCCACACTGAGGACACAGGCCGCCTCAGCCCAGACTCTCCACACTGAGGACACAGGCCACCTCAGCCCAGACTCTCCACACTGAGGACACAGGCCACCTCAGCCCAGACTCTCCACACTGAGGACACAGGCCGCCTCAGCCCAGACTCTCCACACTGAGGACACAGGCCGCCTCAGCCCAGACTCTCCACACTGAGGACACAGGCCTCAGCCCAGACTCTCCACACTGAGGACACAGGCCTCAGCCCAGACTCTCCACACTGAGGACACAGGCCGCCTCCAGCCTCCAGTTTAAGCCTCTGTTGCAGACACAAGATCTCCGTTCACTCGTCTAGACTCAGTGAACCTCACTCGGCCTGGCCATGTGCCTGCAGTCCATGCTGATCTCTCTCATCACCAAATCCAGCCCTAACTCCACCATGCTGTACCTTCCTGCATGCTTTCTACATGACATGGCTGTACACAGTGACATCCTGCCCCCAAGTGGACCCTCCTGCTCTTTGGATGATGCCTTGTGCTTCCTTAAAGGAGATGGTGGGAGGGACACAGACCCTCATATGTTTGCAGTACATACGACCCAGAGCCCTCAGAAAATCTCAGACAGGAGTACACTGTGGGCATGAAGAGAGCTGGCAGTTAAGGGGCCAAAGTCCCTCTAAGGCCTTTTTAAAACAACAACAACAGCAACAAAATAACAACAAAACCACACAGATTTTTTTACTTTATGTGTATGGACATTCAGCCTGCATCTATGTCTGTGTACCTCACATATGCAGTACCCATAGAGGCCAGAAGAGGGCACTAGGTCCTCTGGAACTGAAGTTACAGCTGATTTTAAGCTGTCACGTGATGAATGGGCGGCCAACTCAGGTCCTCTCCAAGAGCAACAAGTGCTCTTAACCACTGAGTCATCATCTCTCCAGCCCCTCTAAGGTCTTTTCATTTACTTCACATTTTCTTTTTGTTAAAATAACTCTGGGCAGCCTGGCAATGGTGGTACATGCCTTTAATCCCAGCAGGATCTAAGTTCAAGAACAGCCTAGTCCACAGGATGAATTCCAGGATAGCCAAGGCTATGAAGAGAAACCATCTCAAAAAAGCAAAAAAGCTCAATAAGAATATTTACAAATTTACAAGCCAGGTGAATTCAAGGCCAGCCTGGGCTACATGACCAAACCCTGCCTCAAAAAACAAAACAAAACAAAAACAAAAAACAAAAAAATCCCACCAAACCAAAAACAGAACCAAACAAAGTTATGAAGCCTCAAGAGCACTGCAGAGGCTAAACCGGCATACTCTTCCAGAGCTTTAGCGTTTCCACAAGTTTCCAGTCTGGCTGGACAGTGAGCACAACCCAAGATGCCAGAACGCACAGTAGTCCAAGGGAATCCAACTGTCTTGGAGCTGGAGATTGCTCCCACGTGATGACTGTCCATCTCACCTTCACTGATACCCACAAGGCAGACACCATTACCACCCCAGAGGAAGACTGAGACTCGGACACTTCCCAAATGCCACCGCAAACACCTCAGAAGCCAGTACCTGCTGAGGGAAGCCACAGCATGTCTGCCTCTTGGGTGGTGACCCGGTCCCTCCCAAACAGAGATGTAACCTGGGGACACCAGAGAAAGTGTCCCATCCTCAGAACATAGGCAAGTTTGGCTTCCATTCTAAAGACAGTCACAGAAGTGAAATGCCCAGGTTCTGAAAGGGACAGCAGCTCACCCAAACCAAGCACTGCTCTGACAGAAGCGTACCCGTCTAGCAGCCTTGAGTGACACTGGGAGTGCACTGGGGTCTCCCCGCTCCAACAAGAGGGTCACTTGTTCCAGGGTGAATCTAACCCAGCAGAAGGCTCAGCAGTGGGAACTGCAGCCCAGCCCAGCCCCCTGCAGCCCAGATAAGGCCACTGCAGCTCTGCCCAGGATCAAGGGGTCTGTCCTGTTTTGTCTCACCACCCCCTCAATCCCAGCAGCACCAACCCACTTAGAGATTGGGACACCTACTTGTTATGGGGTAGCCGGGAGCACAAGGTTCTCAGGTCATCTGAAACCGAGGAGACATGAGATTAGATCTGGAGGGACCTGGGTGCTGAGATTCTTAACAAGAATACTGAGCAGACAGCAATAGGGACTGTTGCAGCAAGGTCCCAGCCTCCTTAGAAGCTGGATTCTCCTGTATGGCAGCTTTCACTTTAGAAAATAAATCCCAAATGGAAAGAACCACTTGGAAAGGGGGTAACTCTGCTGGGAAAGAGCTGGAAGTCCGGGTTCTCAATGAGTTATAAAATACCCAGGGTAAGATGGGGAACTCATCACTGGCAACACTCAGCCGAGGACACAGGGAACAGTCCATCATCAGACAGCAAACCCAGAGCTGTCACTGCAGCTCCATGCTCACCTCTCAAGCAAGCATGCACACACATGCACAAGGCCCTAGCTCAATCTCTAGTACTGCTCGCCCTCCCACCAAAAGAGGAAACCCGACAACAAATATATCCAGGCATGGTGGTTCACTCCCATAATCCTAGCAGTCAAGTGAAGATGCAGAAAACCTGCCAAGAGTTTCAGGTTAGCCTGGGCTACAGAGCAGGACTCACCCCTCTGTCTTTCTCACACACACAGACCCCCAAAACTTAAGTCCCCAGAGGAAAAGTTCTGTATGCTCTAGCAAGCAGCCCTGTGCTGAAAGAGCCAGGTAATATCTAACTGTCCTATCTAGGGCACATTAGCACCCGGATGAGGGGGACTTTGGGGGATATTCTAGGGCTTTCTATCAACCTCCCTTGTAGTCACCGGGAAGGGGAGCAAGTCCTAAACAAAGTAAAGGTAGTGCCAGTCTTGGATCATCTCTCCTTTCTGCCCACACCACAGGACCAGCACTCACCTCTTGTGCAAAGCAGAGCCCCCGATGCCATGGCCACCTGCAATGCCTGGGCCAATCGGTCCAGTGCAAGCTCAATCTCCTGGGAAGCATTGAGAGGGTTCAGTTCATCTGCTAGTCTGTTTATCTCCTCTACAATTGGGACCATGTGGTCAAACAGGATGAGTCCCAGGCGCCCATACAGATTCTTCTCGGTCAGGTGCAGCTGGAGCGTCATAAGGACCTGCAGGACGCTCAGGTGTAACTTCGAGTACAGCAGGTTCGAGTCTCTGTCTGTGCCTGTGCCTGAGTCCTTGGTGACCTTGTGACTGATGTGGCCGTTGGAGAGGCAAGGCTTCTTCCTTTTGTAAGCAAGAGGGGCCTTCACGCACCAACGGATCAGCCCAATAAGGGGCGTGAGCTCTAAGAATCCTATGGGCAGGTTGGCGGCGATGGGAGTATTTAAAAACGTGATGAGAATCAACCTTGGGTCCTCGAAAATCCAGCTGACAATCATTTCAAGCAAGTCCAAAGGTGGGATGAGGTCATCTGCAAAGAGACATTCAGTTGGGAGTGGCTCTGGTCTTGGAGACAGGAGCCAAGTGGACAGTTGGTGATGGATGGAAGCTCACAGCCTTCCTGTCTGGTGCTCACATGTCTACTGCCCAAGTTCACCCATCTTCCATCTCCTTTCCTATACCTCCTCCATGGGTTACTGTCCTGTCCCCAGTGTCCAGGACCCTATGGTCAAGGTCAAGGTTCAAAAAAAACAAACAAACAAACAAACAAACAAAAACCAAACAAAAAAAAACCAAAACACCCCAGAAAGTTAATTTCCTTTTACTCTATCACTCCCCCCACATGTATTTATTTATTCATTTACTGGAGGACAACCGGCAAGAGTCCCTTCTTTCTCCCACATCCCCCCTTTATGTGGATCCCAGGGGTCACACTCAAGTTGTTAGCTGGGTGGCACACACTTCTGGGCACAGAGCCATCCCACCCACCAGCCCCTAGCTCAAAACTACTGGCATACTTCACCCATCTCTGGGTGTAGGTTTCTACCCTATATCCAGTGTCTCCTCCGTAGCACAGTGAGTGCTATAGTGGTCTTCAGAGAGTAGCTTGGAGTCTTGTCAGTCATCTATCAGCCACCAATGGACATCTCAGCCCCAGAGCTGGACCCCTCATCTACGAACCAGCTCGACTCCTCAACAGCACTAATGAGGATAGAAGTTGGCACTAACTATGGGCCTACTATGTGTCAGGTGCTGGTCCTGGTCCTTTCTACAGACCCATCTACTTAATCCACACAGCGCCCCACACTGCTCCCCCGAAAACAGAGGCAGGAAACTGTTGAGTCCTTTCTTAGGACTCAATAGAAGCACATGGTGGCTGGTGTCTGAGCCTGGCTTATGCTACCAGGCTACACTGCCCAGTTTGCAATCAGTATGGTATACGCTAAGGCTGGCTGCAGTCCAGCTTCCTCTCTGGGACTAAGTATTCTCAGCTCACGAGAAGACAAAGCACGGCCGAGTCCTTCCCTGTGCTTGACTCAAGCGGCTCAGAGGACTTGGGAAGCAAGGCACGCACTCCCTCTGTTGGAATAAGGTTTCCAGCTTCTCCTCCTCTGGAAAGATGGTCCCTTCTGAGACTGTTCCTGTCTGGGATAAATGTGGTCTACAACCTCCTGTGACAATCTTGCCTCTGCCCCTCAATTCCCCAAGGAGTTTCTGTCTGAGTAATGCCATCTATATTTCCAACACATGCCCAGGCCTTGGTGGAGACATCTGCAGTGGCCTGAAGGCAGCGTGTGCACAGGTGGAGGTGTGCACCTGTGCCCTCGTTGTGCAAGCACACAGAGTGTGCTTGGTGACTGACTTCTCCACCCTCACACAGGAGGCCTGTGCTCTGAAATCTGTCCAGCAGGAGGGGCTACTATGTGGCTAGGGGATTTTCTTCCTTTTGCTGGCTTGGAGGCACAGACTGCCTCAGAATGCTATGAGCAGCAGCACCCAAATACAGCACTGCTTGCCATTTTAACAATCATCTTCAGGGCCAGGGCCAGTGCTGAGTGACTGGCTGGCCACTGTGACTTATAAGGAAATATGCCATACACACAACACAACCTGTGTATACATATACCTGCTTTGGATATACAGCACAACTTCCCATTCCACATGCAAATCACCCACTCTCAATGTCAAGGCCAACTTTCATCCTGTTGGTCTAAGGTGACTGTTGATCTGCAAGGAACTGCAATGAGGTAAATAGGCCTAGTGACATCTCTCCTGCTGGAAAAGCAAGGGTCCGAGTGCAATCACTGGTAGTGACTGCTCTTAGGAACTTTGACAAGAGTGACTGAGAAGTTCGACTTGGGCAGCAGGGCTCCTCTTCGTAGGACCTGCTAACCTCAGAGGCAGAATGCATCCCCACACTATTTCCAAACGAATGTTCTACAGAGTAACAAAGTTTAGGTTTATTTATTTTATTTCATGCACATGAGTGTTTTGCCTGCATGTATGTATGTGCACTACATATATGCAACTCAACCTGGGTCCTCTGTAAAATCAACAAGTACTCTTAACTGCTGAGGCATCTCTCCAGTCTGAGAGCTATGAAGTTTAAATGCAATAAAACGGGTAAGAAGGGAGACACACATATAATAAAGGGAGCAATGAACAGGAAATAGGAAAGGTTCCTTAAGGCTCTCAAGCTGTTGGCTTAGCTATCAGATCAGGACAAGATACAACTTGTCAACCCCCAAGGCAGCAAGGGCAGAAAGGAGGAGGAGGAGAAAACTGAACCCTGAGCACACACGCAGGCCCAATGCCTCACTCCACACAGAAAGCCACACATATACCTTTCCATTATGGGAAAGCAATGAGCCTGAGTCACCCAACACTACAGAGGCCATAGAAGACACAGATGTGGAGGGACTTATCCAGAAAAGCTCTGCCTATTGACCCTGTTCCTGGAAACCTGTCCATGACAGGAAATGGGCAACAAAGCCCAGGCTGTGGAGGCCTGAGCCCTTTGCCCCCATTTAACCACAGTCAAATGACTTCTACTGTTTTGTTTTTTATGGGGAATCAGCAGAGAGAGCTGCTACTTGACAGGGACAAGGGACACGGGACACTTGGGCTTTTCCTGGTCAAAGCCAAATGTTCTCATGGCTATCTAGGAATCTCTACTGACAGCCACTGAGGAAGTCTCAAAATTAAATAGTAAAACTGGGACTAAGGATTCAGTGCCACCAAGAAAGAATTGGAGTTAAAAAGGGTTACCTGCCAGCGAAGGTTCAATGGGGAAAGGTACTTGGTGCCAAGCCTGACAACCTGAGTTCCACCCACAGGACCCATATGGTGGGAGGGGCTGTCCTCTTGACCTCCACACACATGCAGTAGCATGCAAGTCCCCACACACATACACATACATACACACAATAAATAAATGTAATGTGAAAAAATAAAGGCCCTTTTCCTAGAAGCCACCAAAAAAGGCTGAAATGGAACAGAAGACGCGGACCTTCTACAAGTTCACCTACCATGGTGTGGACCTGGGCCAACTGCTGGGCACGTCCTATGAGCAGCTGATGTGGCTGTACAGTGACCAATAGGCAATGCCTGAACCGCAGCATGCGGCGGAAGCAGCTCTCCCTCTCAAGCGCCTGAAAAAGGCCAAGAAGGAGGCGCCACCCATGGTGAAGCCCAAGATGGTGAAGCCCCACCTGAGGGACATGATCATTTTGCCTGAGATGTAGGCAGCATGGTGGGCATGTATAATGACAAGACCTTCAACCAAGTGGAGATCAAGCCAGAGATATCGATCGGCCACTACCTGGACGCAAGTTCTCCATTACCTACAAGCCCCTGAAGCACGGCGGGCCTGGCATCTGTGCCACCAACTCCTCCTGGTTCATCCCCCTCAAGTAACTGGCCAATAAAGACTCATGTATAAAAAATAAAATAAAATAAATAAAGGTTTAACTCCAAGGCTGGAGAGATGGCTCAACAGTTAAGAGCATGGGCTGCTCTTCCAGAAGATCTGAGTGATTCACAACTGTCTGAAATTTTAGTCCCAGTACATCAGACATCCTCTTCTGGCTTCCATGGGCACCAGGCATGCATGTGACACACAGATATACATGCAGGCAAAACATCCACATACAGAAGAAAAAGAGGAAGAGAGGAGGGAGATGGGGAGGAGGAGGAGAAACCTTTGGTCTTAAAAAACCAAAATAAGCAAACACATAAATAACAAAATAAAAAGAGCACTTGCTGATCTTACAAAGGACGTGAGTTTGGTTCCCAGTTCCTACCTGGGGCAGCTCACAACCACCTGTGACTTCAGCGTCAAGGAACTTCTGGCCTTCACATACCCACACATATAATTAAAAAAATGAATCTTTGGGGAAGCAGGAAAAGAACTTATCTCGGCCCCAGGCCCTGCTTTTTATGCTCATTTCCACCACTCAGACCCAAGCAACTGGGAACAATTAAACAAAGTCCCTTTAGCAAAGGAAAAAAGGTCCAGATGCCAACCTTTAGACATAGGCCCACAATAGGCATTTCACAGTTTAAAGTCAATGCAAGGAGATGGAGAGTAGTTAAGAGCACTTACTGCTCTATCAGGATCCGAATTCAGTTCCCATGTTGGGACAGTCTATAACCTACCTCAAAGGGCTCTGACATCCTCTTCTGGCCTCGGTGGTACCACACACATGTGACACACATGTGCGTTGTATACACTTGTGCATGCACACAAAAATTAACAGATAACAAAACAAAAGCTAATGTACTCACTGGTGCATGGGATGTAGTTTCATGGTAGAACCCTTGCCTCGCATGCACAGAGCCTTGGGTTCCAACCCCTCCATCCCCTCCACCACTAAAAGATAAATACACAAAGCTGGCATTCACCAGAAGTTGCTTTGGCAGAACAACCTGCTTGACAATTACCTGATGACAGGTCGTAGAGTGCAGTCACGGACGTTATGAACTGGCAGCAGAAACGGGGACTGGCACTGAAAATCTGCTTCAGTGTCTGAACCGAGCCTGGCACCAAACAGCAGTAGTCGTCCACTAGGGCCCTGGCAAGTCTCACACAGTAGACCACAGGCGTCCGCTGAAAAGAAGCCATGGTTGGCGTCACTAATGAATTCTGAACTAGCAGGTATTTGGAGCAAGGAGGGGGGTTATCGAGGAAACCGGTCCCCCACCCACATACTCCAGCACAGCTCCTCTGCCTGTTATGCCAGGCTGCTCCTGCACCAGAGGGCAGAGGTGAATTCTTACAACTGGGACCATGCAGCCCGCAAAGCTGGAACATTTATGTAAACCTTCTGCCGGTCCTTCTCGAGAAGCTGACTTTGTAAGATGGTTGCTGAGGCCAGACACCACAGATCAAAGCTAACCACTGCCAGTTGGAGGTTCAAAAGAGACCGACTGTCACATGATGGAATGTTTGTCACCGCTGGGCATGGTGGCCCCGTGCCTTAGTATCAGTGCTAGGAAGCCTGAGGCAAAGGGATCAGGAGCTTTGGCTAGTCAAACTTGTCTTTTAAGAGTTTGTTTTTTTGTTTTTGTTTTTTTTTTTTTTGGGGGGGGGGTTCAAGATAGGGTTTCTCTGTGTAGCCCTGGCTGTCCTGGAATTTGCTTTGTCGATCAGGTTGGCCACAAACTAAGAGATCCACCTGCTTCTGCCTCCCAAATGCAAGATTTTATTTTTAACAGTGTGTATACCTGTGTTTCTGTGTGAGTATGTTCATGGGAGTACTGGCATTCAAGGAGGCCAGAAGAGAGGGACTGATGTCCTGGAGCTGGAGTTCTAGGCAGCTGCAAGCTGTCCGACCTGGGTACTAGGAACTGAATGTGAGCCCTTAGTAAGAGCAGTCTGTGCTCTTAACTACTAAGCCATCCTTCATCCTATGCATTTTTAAGGTATAATCGTTTTGCCTAAGAAACAGATTTCTCATTTATTCTAAAGAAGAGGCCATTTTTTTATTAAAAAAAAATTAATTTGGATGCCTGGTGTTGGTGGTGCATACCTTTAATTCCAGCACTCAGGAGGCAGAGGTTAGTGGATCTCTGTGAGTTCTAGGCCAGCCTGGTCTACAGAGCTAGTTCCAGGACAGGCTCCAAAGCAATACAGAGAAACCCTGTAACGAAAAACAAAACAAACAAACAAACAACAACAACAAAATAATAATAATTTGGGGTCAGGTGTTGTGTCATAAACCTTTAATCTGGGAAGGTAGAGATAGGCAGATGGCTTTGCAAGTTAGAGGCCAGCCTGGCCTACATAGTGAATTCCATGTCCATCAAGATTAATCAGTAATAATACTCTTTTTTAAAAGGGGGGATGGTGAGGTGACTCAGCCAGTAAAGCTCATGCCCCATGAGCATGACAATCTGAGATAAAACCCTGGAGCCCACATAAAGGTAAAAGGAGAGAGGGCTAAAGAGACGATCCAATGGTTCAGAGCACTGGCTAACCCAGGTTTGATTCCCAGCACCCACATGGTGGCTCACAACCATCTGTAACTATAGTTCCTGCGATCTGAAGCCCTCTCCCAACTTCCTTGGCTCAAGCACCAAGCACACAGGTAGTGCACAGACATACATACAGGCAAAACACCCACACCAAATAAATAAATAAAATTTTAAAAATTAAACGTAAAGGAAGACAGGTGTGGTGACCTATGCCTTTAATCCTAGCACTTGGGAGGCAGAGGCAGGTGGATCTCCGAGTTCTTGGCCAGTCTGGTCTACAGAGGGTCTTCCAGGACTGCCATGGCACCAAGAGAAACCCTGTCTCCTACCACAGAAATTAAAAAGGTGAAAGGTATGAACTGACTTCACAAAGTTGTCCTGACCTCCACAGATGTGCTGTGGTACAGGCAACCACACACACATCATACATGTACAATAATAATAAAAATTTTAAGTAAGCTGGGTGTAGTGGCATATATATCTAATCCCCAGCACTCAGAAGATAGAGACAGGTGGGTCTCTGTGTGTTTGTGGCCAGCTGGTCTACATTTAAAATCAAACCCTGTTTCAAAAACAAAACAAACCATAACCATTTACTACTGTGTGCATGAGAAGGCTACAATTCCAGAGTCAGGCACAGTGGCACCTATAATCCTCAGGAGGCTCAGGCAGAAGGGTCATGAGGTTTGAATCCAGCCTGGGTGGACTACATATCAAGCCCTTGTTTCAAACAAACAAATGTTATGCTTTTTAAAAAAAAAAAAAAAAAAAAAAAAAAAAGGGACTGGGGGGGTAACACCCAGGCAGCAATGATAGACATCATCACACATGTGTGAAAGACCTCTACAGATAACCAGTTACATCCAAACTCTTGTTATCCTGTCTATGGAGACTCTGGGAAGTAAAACTATTTCCAGAACAGTACCTGGAGCCAGGAGGCCGCACATTCCAACACGGGGATCCGACACACAGCCACAGCCATAGAGACCAGCTTTCCCAACAAGCTCATCCGGCTGTCGTCGGCTTTGTTCCCTTGGGGGCTGAAAAGGGAGGAGAAAATTATCTGCCGTACAGAGTCCTTGCTTTGCTCCTGGAAATAACTGCACATGATTTCAAGAAGCTGGAGCTCCTGGAGCGAATTCAGTCTCTGTAAAAACAAACCCGGGAGAGAACCTGTGAGAGATGGGGGCCTGCACCCGCCCCTTAGCTCCCACAATCAAGAGTGGCTGCTCTTTAGTTCCCACGGTAAAGGATTCTGGGAGTGAATGCCTGAATCCCAGCACTTAAGAGGCTAAGGCTAGAAGACCTTGAGTTCTAGGCTGGCTTGAGTTACACAGTACATAATGAGGCAGAGGGCCCCCCCCCCAAAAAAAAAGAAAAAAAATCAGTTTTTTTTTTTTTTTTTTTTTTTGCTCAGGGTGTACTTTTTCACCTTTCTGAAGCCTAAGCCCCGGGGACTTAACCCTACGACTATGCAAAAGAAAACCGTGCATCTAATTAAGCAACAACCCAGAGGACTCAGGTTTGAGACTCCAGTGATGTTAAGTAGTCAGTCCCAAAAGTCTCCTCCTGGATCACTAGCAGGCGACTGTCACACGCCTGCGAAAACAGGCACGCGGTTGAGTAACGCCGCTGAACTGCAGGGCCGGGGGCCGTAGGATGAGGAGAGACCTCCGGGCGAGCGCTTGTCACCGAGCGAAGGCACGGACGGGGCGGGCACCTTGGGCTGCGCGCCGCGCTCCTTGGGCACCTGGAACACGAACTCCTCCAGCAGCTCCACGGGGCCCTTGTCCACGATGGGCAGCGGCGCGCTCTGCAGCTGGCTGCTGAAGTAGATGTCCAGGTGGTACAGCACCTCCTTGGCGGCACTCAGCGCGTCGCGCCGCAGCAGCGAGTGGCGGATGTCGCTCATGGTGCGGCCGCCGCGTCCCCGCCGCGAGTCCCACTTCCGCCCGGAGACAAAGAGGCGCGATCAGCCTGGGCTCCGACGCGGGCAGGGCTGCGGCTCCCGCCCGCCCGCCGCTACCTGGCGCCGTCCCGCTCAGGGGGCCATCGTCTTCGTCGTCGCAGCGGGCCAGCAGGAGCCCTGGGTCCGACTGCGGCGCCAACCAGAGCCGCGGGAGTCGATGCCGCTCGGCCGAACCGGCGGCGGAATGCCGGGGCGGAGACGGCGGCCCGCTGGGGCCAAGCTCAGGCCGCGGCCGCGCGCCCTCGTGAACGCCCCCTGGCGGTGAGACCCGCACGGGCAAGCGCGAGGGCACGAGGCCCCTCCCCGCCGTCTTGGCAAGTGTTTCAGATCCTTCACTATGTATGCAAGCCATCTCGTGCTTGCCACCACCCAGAGCATGTTCTTTTTTTGTTGTTTGCTTTTGTTTTTGGAGACAGGGTTTCTTTGTATTGCTTTAGGGCCTGTCCTGGAACTCGCTCTGTAAACCAGGCTGGCCTCAAACTAAATTAGAGATCCGCCTGTCTCTGTCTCCAGAGTGCTGGGACTAAAGGCATGTGCCACCAATGCTCAGTTTAGAGCAAGTTATTAACCCCGGGGGCTACAGGACCAAGGATGCTGCTAAACACCACCCCTAATGCGCTTGCTCCCACCTTCTGTTCCCAGAGCCAGTGTTTCCAAATTCTCTCCTGAGTCCTGGCCCTCTTGACTGCTCCAGCCTAGCCCAGGAGAGCCATGGTAATCTAAGTACAAGGTGCAGCCCACATGCTTCCTGCTGCTGAAGACCCTCCTATCATACAACACCCCCAACTCCCACTTCAAGATCTACTTATTTATTTATTATGTGGTGTTATGCCTGCATGTATGCCTCCGCACCAGAAGAGGGCACCAGATTTCATTTATAGATGGTTAGATGGTTGTGAACCATTGTGTGGGTGTTGAGAATTGAACTCAGGATCTCTGGAACAGCAGTCAGTGCTGTCAACCTCAGAGCCATCTCTCCAGCTCAACCCCCAGATTTTTATACCATCTATGGACAATCATTTACACTTCACATTGAACTAGGGGCATTGAAGGTTGAAGTTTGTTTTTGTTTGTTTTTAACACAGCACTGAAGTCCTGAGTGGCCCACAAGTACAACAATGAGTAAGAGGCCTATGGTTGCTGAAGGCAGGCTTAGGTGAGGATTTGGTTAGGGTAGTGAACAGCCACTGGAAAGAGTACAGCTGGGCTGTATTGTCCTTCTATAAGTAAGAGAATTCGGTGAAACAAAGGTCTCCTTGTTACCCAAACCCTTGGGCAAGACTTCTCTTGATCCTCCTGACACTGGGATCTCAGAAGATAATGGTTCTAGGAGAAAATCAGCAGGAGGGAATCTGCCATGTTACTGGGAAAGGTGCATGGAACTAAAGCGTGCCTTGCTTCCCTTTGCTTCCCTATTCACACTCACACAGCAAAAACCAACACAAACAATGCTTAGAAAATAAATACCCATATATACAAATAGATGTGTACTATATTCAAAATACCACTTCCCGTTCTATTTCCTCTTTTTCTCATAACAGGGGATCACAGGTAGAAAGATCTCTCGAAGGTTGCTCCAAAACCCATGGGAGTGAATGTTCTGATAGATGTGAGGCTCAGCTGACGGGAACCAGGCCACCAGAGGGCAGTGCTGACACCAGGCCCAGTCACCTCTATACCACTCATTTGTGGTCTGGTTAGTGGCAGCCAGGTACAGAAGGAAGCACAGGTAGCCAGCCAGGAGCAAGCACAGTACCATGACAAAGCCCAGCAGGAAGAGGATCCTTGGAAAAGCCAGGAACAGGTACTGAGGGCAGAAAAACAAGAGTGTTAGCAAACAGATGATGACACCCGTGAGCACCAGCCCTTACCCTACGCAATGGCACACAGCCACCACCTCAGTTCACCCCCTGCATCGAATCTGACCCACCAGGCAGCATGTACAGCTCACAGGTACAGTGAAGCCCTAGCATTCATGAGGCCCTCGATTCAAAACTCTCTTTCTCACCTCTCTCTGTCTCTCTCTGTCTGTCTCGTGTGTACACACACACATACACACACAGACACACACACACACACACAGAGACACACATACACACACAACAGTTGCCCCAAATCTGACTCTTTGAACATAGATATGAGTCACAGTCAACACAGAAAAACAGCTCAAGAATAATCTTAGTGTGTATAAGAGTTTCCTGTGGAATAACTGAGGTGTTCACACAGGCAGAAAGGCTACTCAAGACACAGCACATTGCTAGTCCAAATATACAAGATAAGTGAGTGGAGACAGCATGCACCTACTAAAATCCTGCAATGCAAACCAGTGTCTTTCTTTAAACAACTGAGCACAAAAACACCAGCACAAGGACACTGGTATCAGCATCAGCCCTTCCAGACTCTTTTCTCATGCACAACGGTGCAGGCCGGAGAGCACAACACTCGGAAGGCTGAAGCAGGGGGACGGAAAGCTTCAGGCCAGTCAAGTTACAGAGTGATACCCTGCCCCAAAAAACAACCACCCAACCAACCAAACAAACAAACAAAAAACAAATTAAATGACCATGCATAAGGAAGAGTAAAACTTAGGGTCAGTCATAGTATGTACATCAAGGAGCCTTTAAAAACAAGTCAGACTGTGGGGTAGTGCACGTGAGAAAGGAAAGGCTCAGGGCTCTCACTGAATTCTTACGTGAGGGCATAACCGAGGCCGCTGGGAGTTCATGTCCAACTTATGTGCCAACTAGAGAACTGGTTGTCTCTGGGAATGAAACTGGAGGTGGGGGTGTCTAATGTTGCAGTTTCTCTTTTAAACCCTGTTCTTTTTAAATCCGTGGGTTCAGGTCAGAGGACAGAGTCCTTGCTTTCTACCTTGCTTGCTTGCTGCTGCATTGCCAGGTTAGCCTGGGCTGTGAGCTTCTGGGAGTCTCCTGTCCCCTCCTCGCAGCCTCTCGCCTTGCTGTAGAAGTGCACCCCTATACTGTGCTTACATGGGTTCTGAAATCCAAACTTGAGGTCCTCAGGTTAGTGTGGCAAGTACCTTATCCAGTGAGCCACCTAGATCCCCAAGCCAAATACGACTTCTTGGTTATTTGAATATCTTCTTGTTTTTATAAAATGCAGTTAAAAAAAAATTAGAAAGATTTCAATGTTTTTGGAAGTCAGAAGAGGAAAAATACTCATCAAAACTCTTGACAGGGGCAATTGTGTAACTCAAATCACAGAGAGAAGAGAGAGATGAAGGACACCTCAACTTTCTTATACCAAAAAAATCCTATACCAACTGGGCATGGTGGTAGCACATGTATTCCCAGCACTTGGGAAGCTGAGGCAGGAGGATTGAGTATCTGAGCTAGCCTGGACTACGTAGTGATATCCTACCCCAAAACCAAAACTACAAAATCTTTAAAGGTAGGAAATTAAATGTGTTGGTGAACATGTAGAGAAACCTATACACTGATTGCAGGAGACATTCCCACTGCTGTTCAAGTGGTTGAAAGCTACTGTATGATCTTGTAATTCAACTCCTAAGCACACACCCATGAGAAGTGAAGACAAGTTGACAAGAAATGTGTTTGTACTGTTCATAGTAATATTACTAAAAAATAACCAAAAAATGAAATAGCCAATATCTACCAACTTCTGAACATATAAAATATACTATATTCATGTAACAGAGTATTGCTTCACCACAGAAAGGAATGGAGAACAGACTCAGGCTACATGGACCTTCAGAACACTGTAAGATGCCAATGCATAGGGTGACATACTCATGACTGAATCTATGAAATGTCCAGTTCAGAGGGTCTCAACCTGTGACACCCAAAGGGTGTCACATATCAGATATCACGCATATCAGACAGTTACATTATGATTCCTAACAGTAGCAAAATTACAGGTGTAAAGTAGCAACAAAACAAGTTTATGGTTTGGGGTCACCACAGCATGAGGAACTGCATTAAAGGGTCACAACGTTAGGAAGGTAGATAATCGCTGGTCTAGTTAAAGGAAATTAATAAGGACAGGAAGCACATGAGTGGTTACCATGGCTAGGGGAGGATGGAATGGAGAATGTTCTTTGGAGGGGTAATAAAATGTTCTCAAATGCAAAAGTGGTAATGGGAACACAACCTGCTACCCTAACACCACTGACTTGTACATTCACAGAGTCCTGAGTTTGATCCCCAGCTCTGCATAAAGCAGGCTCAAGGACACACCAGTTATCCCAGCACCCAGCAATGGGAAACAAGAGGGTCAAAAATCCAAACCCAGCCTAATATATATGAGACCCTTCACAATAAATAGTTTTTTGTTTTTTTGGTTTTTTTCCAAATGTATAATACCTAGGTGTAATGGCACACACTTTTAATCTCAGAACTCTGAAGGGAGATAAAAGCAGATCTCTGTGAGTTCAAAACCAACCTGGTCTATATATCAAGTTCCAGGCCAGCCAGCCAGGGACTGAAACAAACAAACAAACAAACAAACAAACAAATAAATAATCTAGGACCCATGATTGGGAACACAACAGCCGTAGGGATAAACCTACTACTATTATCTTGCTAAATGAACACACTATTAAACTACCCACTAAATTTGTGTTTCTCTACCTACAGGTTAGTGTTAGTCCTCATCAGAGAAAATTCTTTCAGAGTGGATAGTGGCTAGCACAGACAACTGGTCAAAGTGCAGAGAGTAAGAGTCTGTGGAGTACTCAGCCATGAACAGGACAGATCATGCCTCTATCTCCTCCTTCCCTCCTCTCTCTCTCTCTCTCTCATGTACGTGTGCATGTGCGCATGTGCGAGCACGAGCGTAAACACACACACACACACACACACACACACACACACACAAGGCCCAGGGACTATCACAGAATGGGGAAAAGAAAGACTGTAAGAACCAGAGGACAGGGAGGATTGTGGTTAAACAATGTCATCTGGACATGCCAGGATCATGACCTCATAGCAAAGATCAAGCCAGGCAACATTCCAGCATAGAGCAGGGAGGAGTCCAAGCCCCCACTCCTAACTGAGGAGCTGTAGATGGTTAATGGCTTCTGGGGGAGGGTCAGTCAGTATCTTTCAAGGGTGAGAGGTTGAACATGGTCCTGTGACTATCCCCACACCTGTGAGTACACAGGCAGCACAAACTGGCCCTCATGTATTTAAGAAAACAAAACAAAAAAAGACACAAAGTTGGGAGGGACAGAATACACTGTATGTATGTATGAAATTCTCAAAGAATTAATAAAAATGATGTGCTTATTTTTTAAAAGAAAAAAAGTACCTTTATATTTTTCCTGGGACCCAATGAAAAATTACCTGAATTAGAAAGACTGTGTCCATGGACTGGAAATGCCCAAAATCATCAATGTAAGTTTCCTGGTACAGATCTGACACTACCACTAGTCGGACCAGAAAGGCAGCACTCAGTATGGCTACGGTGGCAGCCGATGCTGTCAGTGTCGAGAGGTAGATGAGGAAGTACCTGGTGTTCCAGGCACCAATGCAGTTGTTCACCCAAATGCAGTGATGGTCAAAACGGTGCACACAGCGGTCACACACCCCTGCAGAGAAAGGAGGTCAGCACAGCTGGGTTTGTCCTTGATGAGGCAGTAAAAGCAGGCATACGGACTGGGACTTTTACAGATTGACCACTGACAGTTTGGGAGCTGCAGTTTCTGAGGCTGGGAGATGGTCGGGGTGTGAAGGCTTGCTAGGCAAGCATGGCACGGGTTCATATCCCTAGCACGGATAGACGCCATGCAGGTTGGCAGCCTCTAATCTCAGCAGGCAGAAGGTCATGGGGCTCTTAAGCAAGCTGGCTACCTAGACTGCTTGAATGTATCAGTGAGCTCTGGTTCAAGTAAAAGACCAACTATCAATATATATGGTGAAGAACGATTGAAGAAGACACTCCGACACCAACCTCCAGCCTCCATGTACGCATCCACACATGTTCCCACACATACTGGAACGTGTGCACACATACGCACATAGGGATTTAAAAAGGAACTGCAGGGTGTAACCAGTTTAGTCACTGAGCACCAAATAGGGACAAGAAAAATCTGAAAAGAATAGTTTCTTAGCAGTAACAAATTTAGCATTTTTTTTTTCACTTATGCCAAACTCTCAAGTTCAATGTGAACACTGAGGTAGCACAAGAGTGAGTCCAGTTCTTATTGTGGACAGATCCTCAGTCCATTTGCTTCCTTTTCTCCTGGAGTTGGGGGATGAACCGAGGCCTTGCACTTTTGTTAGGTGTGCATTCTACACCTGTGACTCCCATTTCAGTCCACTGTTCCACTAATCGCCACGTCAGTGTGGCTATGTGAGGGAAAGTGTTTAGTGCTGGGTTCAGCTGTTGGGACCCTTGGAGAATGCCAACACGGAGCTTGGTGTGTGCTCCTCTGCCAGCATCCCCTTGTGGACAGCAGAGATGTGCTGGGGAGGGCTGGGGAGCCCTGACAGCCATACTCACTGCAGTGCTTGGACCGGGCCGGTTTCCGTAAGTCACAAGTGAAGCACCTTGAGTTCTCTGGGAACATCACATCGTCGAATTCATAGACTTGCAGAAGGAATGACTCATTGGATTTATTGATGGTGCCTGAGAAGGGAAGGGATGTCACTTCTATGCAATAAGGTTGACCAGGCGTACAAAACCCAAACCAGCACAATGAGGCTAAAATTGATGTGTTCACTATTTTAAGAAATTCACTTTATTTTCTGTGGTGTTCACATGTGGAGATGTACATGTGTGTGCAAGCTGGAGGTCAGCTTCATGGTGTTTTATGTATGTGGATGTACACATGTATGGAAGCTGGAGGTCATTTTCCAAAGGTGGATCTTAGGTGTCTGCCAGCCAACTTTTTTTTTTCCTTGGAGGCAGCTCCTCACTCACTTGGAGCTCAGCAATTAGGCCAGGCTGGCTAGCCACCAAGTTTCAAGGATCCTCCTGCACCTGCCTCCCAGCCCTGGGAGCCCTGGTTAGAACCACTGCTCTGGAGATTGAACTGGGTGGGGTCCTTATGCTTGCATAGCAAGCACCTCACAAACACTGCAAACATCTAGCCCCTAACTCACTTTGAGTAACTGGCTTATTGAGACAGAACTCATGAATCCAATTCACTTGTTTTATTTATGCAGTATTGTGTGTTTACGTGAATAACGTGTGTGGAGGTGTGTGGGCTACAGCACACGTGAAGGCCAGAGAACAACTGTGTGGAGTCGGGTCTCTCCTCCCACTGTATATAGATTCTAGGGATCAAATTCAGTTGCCAGGCTTGGCTTGTGCAACAAGTGCCTTTACACACTGGGCCATCTCACTGGCCCTTTATTTGGTTTCTTGAGACAGTTTCCATGCTGTAGCACAGGCTGGCCTTGAACTTGCTGCAGTCCCCCTGTCCCAGCCCCCCAAATGCTGATATTATAGACGTGAGCCAATTTAAAGCACACTCAGTTCTGTGCTTGGCACACTCTCATCACCCCTGAAAAGCACTCTAAACTGTCACTCCAATCCCTCTCTCCCATCAATATACTTACAGAAATGGGACCCTATGGCTGGGAAGGAGGACAGTGAAAGGGCCCCGAGTTCAGTCCCCGGCATCATTACAGAAGAAAAGAGGAAAAACGGGCAGGGGTGGCACACGCTTTTAATCCCAGCACTTGGGAGGCAAAGGCAGACGGATCTCTTTGAGTCTGAGCCAGCATGACCTATAAAGCAATTTCCAGGACAGCCAGGGCTGTTCCACAGAGAAACCCTGTCTCAAAAAACCAAATTAATTCATTAAAAATAAATAAATAAATAAATAAATAAATAAATAAATAAATAAATAAAAGGAAGCTGTGTCATACTGACCATGGCTCTACATAGACATATCTAAATGAATAAAGGTTTCAGAAACTAAAAAGTTATTGAAACCAGCATGGTGCCACAGAGGTGTGATCCCAAAATTTTGGAAGAAGCTCACAAATTCAAGGTCAGCCTGTGACTCAGAGCAAATCACTGTCTCCAAATAAACAATGTATATTGGAAGGTTTCACACTATTAAACCCATGGGTCAAAGACCAAAAATAAAATAGAAAACGCTCAAAACTGAGAGACAGTGAAAACATAACAGGGGAATCTTCTGCCATCTTCTAGGAAACAGTGTTACCTGTGACATGGTCAGCACAAGGCTTGAGCTGTCACTGGCTTGACACCTGACTTACCTGGATTGGCTGAACACGTCAGGGTGAAGAATACCAGGTTCAGGCCCAGCAGCAGATAGGGCAGGAGAAGGTAAGGCAGATAGAACTCCAGCTCTCGGCAGTAGCCAAATATTTCGAAGGTGTACTCAGCATAAACTAGCCCTTGCAAGAGCAGGTGCAGGACGATGAAGGTGGGGTTGCTGGAAGGAAGCAAATGTGGTTTATGCACAGGGCCACTCCAAGAAGAAATCACATGAGTCTATGGACCATGACATAAGCCAACCACTTCCTGTAAGAATTAAGTAAGGGCCCATTGTGGTACACATGCCTGTCACCGCAGCATTTGGAGATGAGCCAGGTTTGCCTTGAGTTTGAGACCAGCCTAAGCTACACAGCAAGTACCAGGCTAGCCAGAGCTACATAGTGAGACCTTGTCTAGAATAATAGTAGTAGTAGTAGTAATTGGGGCTGGGAAGATGGTTCTGTGACTGAGAGCACTGGCTGCTCCTGCAGAGGACCAAGCTCAGTTCCCAGCATCCACATAGTGGCTCACAACCATCTGTAACTCCAGTTCCAGGGAATCTAATGCCCTTTTCTGACCTCTACCAGCTCCTACACACATGTGATACACATACACTCAGGCCCCCACACATAGATACTTTTTAAAATGAAAACAGAAACACATTTTGCATTTATTTTACAGGAATATTTAATATTCCCCCCCTTTTTTTAAAAAAACATCTTTACTTGAAAGCACACATGACTATATTACCCCAGCACTTGGGAGGCTGAGCATAGAAAACTGTCATGAGTTTGTCTGGTCTATATAGTCAGTCCCAAGGCAGCCTAGGCTATAGAATGAGACCCCGTCTCAACAAAACCAAGATAAAGTGGCCTTGTTGGTCTGGGGAAGCAGTTCAGTGTTTCTGAGGGAGGAGGCTTGCCAGACATGCACAATATCCTCAGTTCAATCCCTAGCACTACAATCAATCAACACATGAAAACAATAAAAGCAGGCATCTTCAAGCCCAGAGACAAATGGTAAATGCTGGATAAGGAGAGGTTCCAAACCCAGCACGCTGGAAACTTCCAGCCTCCTTCCCTTTTCTATACTGGAAACCACAAGGGGCTTCCAGGAACTACAGAATGGCAACACCATCATCCAGACCGAATATGGCCACGCCTGAACCCTGAGCCACAAATACCGTGTGTGGAAGAGCTGATACAGAAGCCTCTGCGTGGCCCTCTGAAGGCACTGTGGGATTACACAGGAGCACACCTGAAATCACAGAGAAGGGTCAGCTCACTTCTCATTCCCCTCACTCCCACACAAGTGAGGTTTTGCACACGTCGCTGGCAACGGTGGTGATTCTAGCCACTGCTTCCTCATAGGCAGAGAAGCACTCCAAGAGAATACAGAGGACTTGCTTCTACTACCTTTCCTTTCAGGCCAACTTGCTCACGTCTTTACAGTGCATGAGTGTGTAGTGTGTTTGTGAACACACGTGTGCTCATCTATGTGGTCAGAGGTTGGTGCCCAGTGTCTCCCTTGACCGCTCTCCACCTTATATGTTGGCACAAGGCCTCTCAGGGCTCACCTATTTGGCCAGTCTGTCCTGCTGATCTCTTGTCATCGTCTCCCAAGTACTGAAATCACAGGCTGGCCACCATCCCAGCCAGCATTTACATGCTCTTTGGAGATCTCAACTCCGGTTCTTAATGGTTGCACGGCAAGCACGCTAACCACTCAGCCATCTCCTCAGCTCCTCCTCTATTTCTGAAACAGTCTCATTATGTAACCTAAGCTAGGCTGGAGTTCATGGTCCTCCTGCCTCAGCTTCCTAAGTGCTAGGATTTAAGAGGTGCAGACAACTTCTCCATTTCTACTTTGACTGCAACGACTGTATATGTCAGAGTCTTTGAAGAAAAGAGAGTGGGCAGAGGCTGCTGCAAAAGCTGCCGTTTCCTTACCCAAGGTTCCACCCCATGTTCAAAGCACACCTCTAGATCCCCAGGGTCCTCCTGAGTTAACCTCTTCTCATGGCTACTTGTCCTCATTTTGTTTTGAACTCCCCTGACCCCAACCTGCCTCCAGGGAAAATGGTCTGATGTCAAATGATGATGGACACCCAGGTGCTCAGCTTTCTGTTCATATGTCCTCCTCCTCCCAGTTTCACACCTGCTGCAAGCATGTCTAGGCAAACGCTATCCACAGACATTACACGCCATGCCTAACTTCAGACATTACACGTTTAAAAAGCCAACCTTGAAAATTAAACCTATCTCAGAGCAAGACACCAAGATTCCTTTTTGTTTTGTTTCTATGTACCCCCACTGGTCTTTAATTCTCAGTCCTCCTACATTGGCTTCCTAAGAACTGGGATTAAAGGCAAGACACATAACACCTGGCCCAGTGAGCCTTTCAGACTATACCTAGTACAGTATTCAAACTTCAGCGGTACCCAAGGATCATTGCTACCTGTGCTCCTCCAAGGACCAGGCTTTTCAAATGCTGGTTTTTTGTGAAGATGCAGATCATGACAACAGCGATCAATAAGAAGGCCAAGTAGAACAAGAAGAGAACCAGGAAGTCCATTCTGGAGGCTGCGAAGAAAGACAGCGTGAGTAATTGCTGTTGAAGGATATATCTAATTCCCCTTACCCCCATGGCATGTATCCTGAGCCCTGGGTCTACTCCTGAGTTCGAGGTCCACACCCAGGTTTGTGAGCATTAGTCCATCCTCAAGATGAACATTGTGGTCTGCCTTTGGGGCAATGAAAACCTTTCATTAGTTTGTCTGTGTCTGTCTGTGTGTGTGTGTGTGTGTGTGTGTGTGTGTGTGTGTGTGTATGTGTGTGTATGTGTACTTGTCTGTGTGCATGTGTCTACAGGTATGCATTAACATGTTTATGTGTGCTCAAGCCAGAGGATGGCATATCTCCATTATGCCCCACCTCATCTCTCTCTCTGTCAGTGTATGTGTGTGCAGGACAACTTTGGGAGTTATTTCCACCTTGTGAATCCTGAGAATTAAACCCAGGCTCATCAAGCTTGGCAGCAGGTGTCCTTGCCCACTGAGACATCTCACTAGCCCTGGGGCTTAGTTTTTATTTTTGTTGTTTGGGACATGGTCTTGCTATATAGATCAGGCTGGCATCAACAGAGATCCAGCTGCCTCTGCATCCTAGGTGCTGGGATTAAAGACACATGTGATCATGCCCAGACTTATTTTGAACTTTTGAAAATTTCTTAGTGTATGTGTGTTTGTCTGAGTGTGGGTGGATAATGCCATAGTGTGCATGTGGCAGTCAGAAGACAACCTCTGGTGTTGGTCCTCTCCCTCCACCTCATTGTCTGTTCACTGTGGTGTACGTCAGGCCAGCTGGCCTGTGTGTTTTTGAGGATCCTCCCACTGCACAGTCTGCAAACTGAAATTAGACAGATGCATATTACTACATCAGGATTTTGCATATGTTCTTGGGATTTGAACTCTGGCCTTCATACTTGCAAGACTAGTACTTCATTCATTAAGCTAGCTCTCTTGCCCAAAGTATAGGTCAAGGCAACCTCAAGTCGATGGGTTCCTTTCTTTGCCCTGTCAGTACTGAGAACTGAACCTAGGGCTTCATCTATACCGGGCAAGCATTCTATCACTGAGCTACCACCTCAGCCCTTTTCCACGTTTTTCTGATGCATGCTCACACATTCAGCTAGACTGGCTGGCCAGCAGGTCCAACAGGTGCCACTGTCACCTCCTCCCCTGGGATGGGATTACACACCTGTGCTGCCCATCACATCCTTTGTTTTAAATAAGATGAGAAGGACCCTTTTGTTTTACTATTTATTTACTTTAGTATGGGGGGGCAGGTGCTTGCAGGTGAATGTTTGCAGGCATGAGGAGGATGTCAAGTGTTCTCTATCATTCTCCATCATATTCCCTTAGGGTCTCCTGCTAAACCTGGAGCGCTCTCTCTCTCTCTCTCTCTCTCTCTCTCTCTGGCTGGGCTGACAGCCATCAAGCCACACTCAACATTTTATGGTGGTACCAGGGATCCAAACTCAGGACTTCATGCTTGCAATTAAGCACTCTTATCCACTGAGCTATCTCCCAGCCCCTCAGCTTTTATGCTTTAACATAAGATCTGGTCATCAAGGCTGAGTCCTCTCAAGACTACAAGACATTATCAACAGAGCCATCTCCCAACTCCTTATTTGTTTCTTGAGACAGGGTCTCACTATGTAGCCCAGGCTAGCTTGAAACTCAGAATTCTCCTGCCTAGGTTTCAGATTATTGGGATTACAGAGGTGCATCACCATACCCTGCAACAAAATCTTTTACTTCCTTAAATATTCACATAGCTACAGATCGACCCCCCCCCAAAGAACCTTCAGACCTCATCAGAATGAACAATTCCTAAAAGTAATCAGGATCCCATACCCAAAATCAGGCATCATGTCCTATTAAACAGGTCAGTGGTTACAATGTCACAGAACCAGAAGTAATACAACGACCTGTGTTAAGAAACTGGAAATGGTGGCGTTGGCTTTACCAGGTAGGATCCAACTCGGATACTATCAAACCAAAAACTACTAACAAAAGAGGAAACAAACAAATAAAGCCATTCTCACGAGATAACAGGTCTTCCGCCTACATATTTCCCGTGGCCGGACACTATTTCAGCAGCACTTTTAGCGTTCATTCCTCTTTGCCACTTCCACTTGGGTAGTGTTGTGCTTTTGGAACATGCAAAGATGGTGGCATGGTTGTTCCAGAATTGGCTGCGGAGACAAATAAGTACAACACTTACACAGTGTTGAATCAAGTGTCAGTAGTGGAATGCGCTGCGAAAGGCGCTTGGGAGTACCGCACCGCTGCTGAACTGGGACGAAAATGTGAAGTCCAGTAGTTTTGGGTCTAGGAGGCGCCCTCACCGGGTCCGGACACAGTGAGGGGTTGCCCACATGAGGTCCCGGATAGTTTTCCCTTGCTGGACACTTTCCGGATACATTATATTCAAGATTCTTGCATACTTGGGGGTCACAGAATCTCCCGCTGTGGTGGGACCAGGGAAGGACGGTGGTGAACGGAGCCCATCCTACAACCGATCTGGGAAGCATCAGGCTCAGAGAAGATAAGGGAGGCTCTGTGGCAGTTTGGGAGACCGTAACTGCGTCCGGAGCCCGGAACGACAGCCGACTGAGGGGTGAGCACAAGAAGCGGGGTGCAGGATGCTCGGAGAGGACTGTGGTCCCACACGTAACCACGAGGTTTAAACATGGGGTGCCGACGGCCGCCACCCAACCCGGGTGTCACAGAGGCTTCCAAAGTGCCTTACCCAAAACCCAGCTAACTCTCAGCCACTCCCAGCTGGCGCCATCCAAGCGCTCCCCGGGGCTTCCGGCGCGTCTGTAGCGTCATCAGTGCCCGCGATAAGGATAACTTCCGACGGAAGTAGTTGCCCAAGGGCGGAAATTATTGGAATTGGACTCTCGTGCTGCTAGTGCGTTCTGTTTTGTTCTCGCCTTTCTTCGTTGATTTTATTTCTTTTTTTCCCCCTTCTTTTTTAACTTCTGTCTCCCTCCCTCCTCCTCTCCGGTCCCTTTCTGTCTTCCTGCCCACCTTTATTATTACTTGACAATTTCTTACGTGTACATAATGAATCTTGGTCATTCCCCCGACTCCTCTCATCTCCCTCCTACCGACTCCCATCATTTCACCAAGCCCCCATCCAATTATCGTTGCTTTTATTTGATTCTTGTGGGTGGGTTTGTTTGTTGTTACCGACTGAGTTTAATTCGGATTTCTTGCATGAACATGGGTGGAAAAGCTTTTTTTTTTTTTTTTAAAGTTTTTCAGTGTAAAGTCAGGCGGTGGTGGTGCACGCCTTTAATCCCAGCACTTGGGAGGCAGAGGCGTGGGATTTCTGTGAGTTCGAGGCCAGCCTGGTCTACAAGGACAGGCTCCAAAGCTACACAGAGAAACCCTGTCTCAAAAGAAAACAAAACCAAAAAAATCTGTCTAAAACCAAGGTTTCAGTTAGGCATACTGTCGCAGACCTTTAATCCTGGCTGGCACTCAGGAGGCAGAGGCGGGTGGATCTCTTTGAGTCTAAGGCCAGTGGTCTACATAGCTATGCATACATAGCTAGATCTTGTCCAAAACAAAACAAATGAACAAACAAAACTAAGGTCCCACTACATTATACCAGGCTGCCTTGAGCTTTTGCACGTCCTTGTTTCGCCTTTTGCTGGGATGACAAGCATACACAACCACACCCAATACAGGAATTGGAATTTCCTAGCACTTTTGCTTCCCCACCCCCCCAAAAATGAAGGCTGTCTTGGGTCTTGGGAGAACTGCTGGACTGTGCAAAACAGCCTGGATCTTTCTGTGTCCTGGGAGGAGCTTGGTAGTGGTTCCTAACAACCCAGGAGGTACCCTAGACAGAGGCATCGGTGTCTTACTGGTGAATAGTTTACTCACAGTCAGTCACATCATTAGGACTTGGCCCAGTCCCAGCATCTTCCACTGCAGAAGTCACAACATGTCCACATCTGAGTCATATTCCGCTGTATACATGCCCCTTGCTCCCGTCATTTCCCCATACAGCTCAAACATCCTCCCTGCGGGTGGTGGGGAACAGTGTTTGGCTGAAATTCTTGAGGATAAAAAGGCTGTTTTGATGATAGGCAGGCTTGGGGTGAGAAGAGCTGCTTCCAAACATAGCACTGAGAAGGTCACTGTGGATGCTGCTTTAGCTCTGAATTCCTGCAGATCCTGTAAGAACTCTTGACACCTCTGAAAACAGGTTCTCTTTGAGGAAAAATGTCTGATCTATAGCCACCGACCTCAAAGCTCATTTTTCCTGTTTGCGTTGCTGCCTACCCCAGCTTCTTGATTCCTTTTTCCTTTCAGAAAAAAAAAATGTACCTTTCTAAATATATTTTACCCAAGGCCTTTGCAAACTTGTGAATACAGAATGGGCAGGCATGGTGAGAGCTGGAAAAATGGTTGCATATAGAGACCATTTCACATCCAAAGGAGGCTAGATTTCATCAAGGTCTCCAGCCGGCTCCAGCCTGCTGGTTAACACTGAGTTGGAAATCACATATTTTGAATTTATTTTGAATTTTCTATTCCCCGAGCAGAGTTTTATTCCCATCCCTTTCTGGTTTTTCTCTAAATGGTTTCAGTTCAGGCTAACTTTGATCTCACTTCAATCTTCCATCTTGTCTTGTGTTTCATTGCCTTCCATTAAACACCCGGAGAAGGGGATGGAAAGGAAGTGAGTCAAATCACCCAAAACAAAGTCTTTGGTTACCAGCTCTTCTGAATCACACTTCCATGATGCAATTATCCTTATTTAGTGTGTGTCCTGCAGTCTTTTTTTTTTTTCTTCTGATTGTGTACCCCAGGCTGGCCTTGACCTCACATTCCCCCTGAGTCTGCTTCATGAGTGCTGGGGTTACAGGCCTGGCCAAAACTCATTTTGCATTTGTGTATATGTATTCATTCAATAAACACATATTGGCAATAGGTGTCAGCTGCTGCTCTAGGTCAAGGGAACATAACAGTTAAGCAAAAGAAATTGCTGAAGTTGGGACTGAGGCTACTGTAGGTCAGTTGGTTGAGCCTGGGTTCCATCTCAAGGACCACATAAAACCTAGCATGGTGGAATATGCCTATAATGCCAGTACTGAAGAGGTAAAGGCTGAAAAAATACAACTTTAAAATCATCCTCAGCTACACAGTTGACAGCCACTCTGAGTTACATGAGACCCTGCATTTGGTCTGTGGGACACAGGTTGGACACGCCTATCTCTAGACAGTTTTTACCCCTATCTCTAGACAGTTTTAAAGTGTTAAGTTTAGTGAGTATATGTCTTTTTCACATCCAATAGAGTGGATTTAACATTCTTACTATGGGCAATTAGTCATGATGGTATATGCCTTTAATGTCAGCATTCCAGAGGGAGGCAGAGGCAGGTGGATTTCTGTAAGTTAGAGGCCATCCTGGTCTACATAGTGAGTTCCAGGACAGCCAGAGCTACGTAGTGAGGCCCAATTTGCAAAACAAAACAAAAACATTCTTACTGTGGGACATTATGATCTTTCCTACTTTGTGACTTTTTTTTTTTTTTTTTTTTTTTTTTTTTTGCTGGGGTGGGGATTGAGACAGGATTTTTTCTGTGTAGGTCCTAGCTGTCCTAGAACTCACTCTGTAGACCAGGCTAGCTTCAAACAGATCTGCCTGCCTCTGTCTCCTGAGTGCTGGCATTAAAGGTGTGTGCCACCACCACTTGGCTACTTTGTGATGTTACAGGTAGTTTTTCAATGATACATTCATAGCTTTAAAAAATATAGAGCTAGATCTGGTAGTACAGTCCTGTGACCCCAGATTAGGGCATGGAGGAAGGAGGTTCATGAGGTTGAAGAAGAGAACTATGAATTTGAAGCCATCTATGTGCTATATAGCTGCTGTCCTTTAACCTCAGGAATCAGGAGGTTGGAATGGAGCTTGAGAGGTCAAGGGAAATCCAGGTTATATATAACAGAACCCTGTCTCTAAAATATAAGTTCTGGGTGAATTTCTCAGTGCTTTGCTGGCTTTTGAAAATCAAGTGCTTCTCAAACTTTATTTTTTCCTCTCTGCCTCTGAGAACCTCCAATCACAAACACTGGCATCTATTTAATAAGAACGTAGGAAGGAAAAAAAACAAAAACAAAAAAATACTGACGTCTAAATCCAAGGATTTTACTCAAGTCCTTTAGAAAGGATTGAGTTGTCTTTGATATGTGGAGCAGAGAATCCTTCTTAGAATTATTCTTAGACCTTCCTGTCAACCCCTGAAACTGGACCTGTGATATCAAGTGGTTTTTTTTTTAACCTGTCATGAGATCAGTTGACAGGATTAACCTTTCATACCATGATCTCTTTTCCCTGGGAGTAATGTCTGAGGCAATATGGAATGGGATACAGACTTCATGGTTGGTCTGAAGGAGATGGCTCAGATGGTGAAGTACTTGCCATAACATGCAGACCCAATTAAAAAGTCAAGTATAGCCAGGTATAATGGCATAGGCCTTTAATTCTAGCACTTCGCAGGCAGAAGCAGGTCAATCTCTGAATTCAAGGCCAGCCTGGTTTACATAGTGACAGCCAGGACTGTAGAGAAGCCCTGTTTCTGAGGGTGGGGGCCAGTTAAGGTGTCATGACCCTGTAATCCCAGTGCTGGCAGGCTAGAATCAGGAAGATCAAAAGACTAGTTGACCAGCGCATCTAGGCTGATGGGTGAGCGCCATATTCCAATGGGAAATTCTTAAAAAAAAAAAAAAAAGTGAGGACTGGCAAGATGGCTCAAGAAGTAAGAGAGCTTGCTTTGCAACCTTGAGGACCAGTGTTTATCTCCCAGTATTCCTATACCTAGCCAGAGGTGAACCCCTGTGGACCTTCAGCTCCAGCACTGAGAGGTTGGAGACAGGAAGATAACTGGGATTTGCTGGTTGTCAAAAACAAAAACAAAACAAGAGCTGCTGCTTCAAAGAATCAAGTGGAAAGTGGTAGAGAATGACACGGGGAATCCTCTAGTCTCTATGTACACACAGGTGCATGAACTTCATTACACATGTATGTACAACACACATGCACACGAATGATTTTAAAATATAAAGAAAAGGTGGGTGTCTCCTGAGGAATGACACCAGGGGTTGACCTCTGGCCATTACACATATGGTTGCAAGCACACACACAGAGACATAGAGATTCATATCTGTTCATGCAGAAAACAGTCATAGGGAATTTTTCCATAAAAAACAGATGGGGGATGTAATAGAAGTGCCCTTTTGGCTTGTTTCAGTTTGTTGTGATATCAATAGCAACCATTTTAACACCTGACTCATAGTAGATATGCTCAATGTGTGGGTGAATGGGAAGGGGCTGAGTTATTCCTGATGGAGAGCTATACTGCAGAAAATATTCAAACAGGGCCTGCCAGGTGTCTCAAAGGGTGAGGGTGCTGGCTGCCCTAACAACCTAAGTTTCATCCCCCAGAATCCCAATAATGGTAGGAGAGAATTGACTCTTACAGGCTAATCTCTGACCTAGACACACACACACACACACACACACACACACACACACACACACACACAGAGAGAGAGAGGGGGGGGGAATATCAGAACAAAAATTACTCTGGCCAGTAGGTGGTGCCACAGCATGTTGCTGTTAGCTGGCTTGTATCATAATCTATGGGTGTCCAAGTCACCCTTTGGAATTTCCACTTTTGTTTCTGTGTGTGGTGCAGTGTGC